GCTTATATAAGCTAGGATTACGTAGTATCTATTAGGTAAGGCTAGTATACTTAAGCCTTACGGAAGATTCTATAAAACGCTATTCTATTCTATAGGATTAGAAATTACTTAACTTAATTTCTAAGTATCCTAAGTATTACGGGTTAAATCCGTAGGATATCTTAGTAAGAACTAGCGACGTCTAGATTCAATCGTATAGTTATATAGCCGAACGATATTACGTAATATTAATAGATATCTTAGCGAGCGACGCTAAGACTAAACTAGCGATACCTAGATTCGACCGTATAGTTATATAGCCGGACGATATTACGTAATACTAATAGTTACCTAGAATACCAAACGACCTACCCTAAGAGATTATATCTCCCTATAGATAGCGGTAGGACTTCTTTCTCTCTTCCCTTTAGCTTAACGTCCTTATTAGATAGGTCCTATAGTAGTTAAATAAGCTCCTATTAAAATCCTTATACTAGGAGTTAACTCGTATTTACGAATACTCGGTAATTACTCTCGTACTTATAAGATATTACGACGGAGCCTACGCCTATATAAAATAGGCCTATACTCCTTTACTTAGATAGACCCTAAGTTATTTACTAAGATAGAAAACTACGATATATTGTACTCTTTTAACTTTAGCTACTTTTACTATAGATCTAAATTATTACGAATACTAAGACTTACGTACGTAACTAGCTAGTATATCGCACGCGAGACGCGTACGAAGCTCCCCTAAGCTTCTTACGCTTCGAATCGATGTCGATACTACCTCTATAGTTAGATAGAAATCCGTCGATATAGCTCTTTCGAATAGCTCCCGCTCATTCCTGACATAAATCCTATCCCCCGGACAACTTAGATAAACTTTAAGTTATTCATTAAGATAGAAAATAACGATATATTCTACTCTTTTAATACTAGCTACTTTTACTATAGATCTAAAACCTTGTCCACCGGGTAGATTGTATGGTAGCTAGAGTAACTATCGATAGAGTAAGGTCACGTGATGTAGTTCTTGTTCCTAGGAGGTCGCCGGTTCTAACCAAGACTCTATACGGGTTCACCCCGTGACACTTTTCTAGTATTCTCTAGATTTCTCTAGAAAGTACTAGAAATCTTGCCAAGGAGTGGCTGGTGTATACTAAGAAGCGGGTCATCGTTCTACTTACTTAGTCTCTGTCCTACTCCGTTGCATCGTCTGTGGTGCCGAGAAAGCTGCGGATCACCTCGCGTAAGTACGAATTTGCCTTCCGCCTCACATTTCTTTCGTTCTTGATCCACAATCAGCTCCACAGAAACATCCAGAATCCGGGGGTCATGAAGCCATCAAGGTCCTGTGATAAATGCTATAGAATCAAGGCACGCTGTGACTATGTGCAAGGGTCTTCAGAGTGCGAGCGATGTGCTCGACTGGGTCATGCCTGCAAGGTTGAGCGTGCAGTCTTGCACCCCGGCAGACCACGTACAGCTGTAAAGTCCCAATCTACAGTAAGTCCGAAACAGAAGCATGCATCACCAGCTACACTGGCCAACCGATCCCAAGCGCGGCTGCAATCCGAGGGACATCTCCTGCCAGTCTGGGGTGCATTCGGGCAGAATGAACTCCCCCTGCTTGAATTCGCTCTGCACCCAGACCAAATCGGCAACTGGTTATATGGACCGACCTTTACGAACACTATGCGCACAGACCTGACCACTCACATTTGGGGGAATAGCGAGGAGCTCAAAGATGCTTTCCTCGCTTTCGCAAGTGTGTTCCTAGTCTCCAAACATGCCGACTCTGCGGAGGCCCTAAGCCGTCAACACGTCCAAAGAGGTTCGAGAGCAGTCCAGCGGCTGGCGAACCTGTCGACAGTCACAATTGATAGTGCTCGGACTGCCTTGACTCTTGCCCTGTTGCTTTCCACATATAATGACTTAGTTACGGGCGCTCCGGCATTTGCACTCTCCCGTTCAGCGCTCCTACGGGCTATGCCATACCGTAAGCAGTTGATCCTTCCAACAACAGAGGGCACGAATCCCCATATCATATGCATCCTATTCATGGAGGCGACTGAATGTCTTGTGATTGGCCAAGTTCCGCTTTTCCGTCATCAGCCGCTACAGGGTAATACGCTCGTCGATAAATACTATGGTATATCTCATGAACTACTACCGTTCCTTTACGACATCTGTGTCCTGTACAGTTCTATCAAAGCTGGTTCTATCTCCTGGTTGTCAAGGACTCTGGAATTTGAACGGATCACTAAATTGGTCGATCCATGGTCTCCGGAGTTGGCCATTGAAGCACGAGATGGAGTCATCAAGAACAGCGACGAGAAACACCATTTTCTGCTCCAAGCCAAGGTGTTCAAGTCAGCCGTTCAACTCTTGCTGTTGCACACCCAGAGGAACCCCGAGGCTATCGCGCTGGCCCGAGCCAGAGCTGTGCAAGTACATTCAGAATTTTTGGACCTCATGCAACATGCTGTGGACAGACCTAACTACGCGCTGTTTCCGTACTTTGTGGCATGCTTGGAGCTCGTCGATCCGGATGATGAACTGGCAAGCATCGTCCTTGATACGATGAACAAGAGCAGCGCTGGGCTGGCTCCAGCAAGTTGCCAGAGTATGCTGCAATGTCTCAAGCATATCTGGAAGAGGCGTCGTCAAAGACCTGACCTCGCCTGGTTCGAATGTGTCGACGAAGCTGTAGCAATGGGACCATGAAAGGCGTGGCAGAAATCTATTGGTGAAATTTCCAGGATTTCTCTAGATTTTATGTCGAGTACACCTTTTCGCCGTTCATCCAAGTCTCATCGATACTGGCCTTGAGCAAGGATTTGGCCTCAAAGCCGTGCGACAGTCCGTCCACTATGATAAAATCGGCCTTCTTTCCAACATCTAAGCTGCCGATCTCCTTGTCGGCAAAGCAGGAATATGCGCCCCCCCAGGTCGCAGCACCAAACACCTGATGCATATCTAACGGTTTCCGCTGATTTATCTTGCTATGGTCATGCAAGTCACGTGCAGACAATCTTGTGTTTGCCACATAAAGATTGGGAAATGGCAGATGCGGCGCGGTGGGCGAGTCGGTACCAATGGCTAATTGAGCGCCATGTTCCTGGAACTCTCGATGGGCAAAGGCCCAATCACAACGCTCACGGCCGAGCAGCTCAGGCCACGCTCCGAGTATCAAAGGATCGGAATGCACAGGTTGAATGGACGCCGTGATTTCGAGTTTTCCTAACCTTTTGGCATCGTCGGGTCGAGTCAATTCGAGATGCTCGATCCTGTGACGCCGGCCACTTGTACCGAGACCCTCCAGTGTGTTGATAGCAAGATGTATGGCCGCGTCGCCAATCGCGTGGAGCGCTATTTGAAGACCGGCAGCATCAGCTTTAGCCGCCACTTCTCGTACAACATCCTCCTTCCAATTCATATCACCGAGGTCGTGCGGAGACACTAGGTAGGGTTTCGAGAGCGCAGCCGTACAAGAGTCGACAACGCCATCAAGGATCATCTTGATTCCAGCGATTCTGAAATCTGGCGAGTTCTGAAGGTTATACTTGGCGTGGATATCGATTGCTGTCTGCACTTGATTAAGGGCACCAGCACTATCACCGGTAGGTAGGATCATCCAGTGTGCTGCAACACGTAGGCCCAGATGACCGTTCTTGTGCATATCCTCAATTAGATCCCAGTTGCCTTGGTCCATAGCCATTTCGATCACGCTGGTATATCCCGAAGCATGGTACTCTTTTATGGCTGTTCGAAAGCAGCCCTTTTTGTCCTCTTCCGACATCTGGCCTATCAAGTGAGGCCAGACCATACTGAAGACTGCTCCTTCACTGATCAGACCAGTCGGATTTCCATCCTTGTCTCTATGTATTACACCGTCGACAGGATCAGCACTATCGCGGGTGATACCCATTTCTCGTAGCGCCGAAGTACTACACCATTCTGAGTGCAAGTCGTCTGCATCGATGAAGATTGGTCGAGAATCAATGTCGTCGATCATGCTAGCGAGGGCTCTGCGGTTAGTGCTGGCTTGTCTCCATCCTCGACAGAGGATGCGTGGAGCGCTTGGGTCGCGTTTTGCAGCCTCGGATATGGTGGTCCTTATCTCATCGAGATTGCGACAGTTGTCGAGTCCAACTTTCACTAAGGAGGCTCCGAATTGCAGCAGATGCATGTGAGCATCGATGAAAGCCGGGAATACGGATCGCCCTTTTAGGTTCACCCTCTTGGCGGCCTCTCCGTTGCTGAGGTGTGGAATCCGTCGTCCGGCATCGTTTTCCAGATATTCGATCATACCATCGTTGATGACCATGGTGGTACAGGTCTCGAATGCCGAGGCGTACCTTCCATGGTAGATGGTTCCATTTTCGAAAACGATCCTCATCTTGATTAGCACCGCTTTGGCTACATAGACATATTCGACAGTGGAGGGAGAAGTAGTCCAGATAAAGATATGGCTGGACTGCTGCATGAAGTACTTGCGGAGAGGCCTGGGCGCGGGCGGGGCACCGTCGAGATCAGTGTGCTTACGAGATTTTGCACGAGTGGGATACAATTGCGCCCATTTGTATCTCGGTTCTTCAGGCGCATCATGAAATTTTGCGATTTGGGGGAGGCAAAACCCTCCGTCGCCTAATCTTGACACGCGGAATGATCACCAAAGGCAAAAACGGAAATGACCGTCGGTTAAACCTACCCAGTCTTGATGTACGAGGTAACTTGAATGATCATACGAAGTATTCAGTTTGCCTTCTCTCAAGTCGTTGACGTTAGGCCTAGTTGAGATGTTATGCACCTAGAGGCACGCCTCATAGCGCAATCATCTTGTATTCGTATCTATCAATGTCAAGCCAGACACTCCACACTGGTGGCAATGCCCTTTATGGCTCAAACACGAAGTAATTATGTAAACCGACCCATGAACCACCAGCAACTCCTTGGTTGTCCTCTTGCACACACAGGCGAAATCTTTGGGACTTTCCCCTTGCATCTTAATTAACAGACCATTGCAGATTGGAGCTGAGAAAGTCACCTACGGCGGAACCGCACGCCATTGAACAAAACGCATCGGAATTGACACCCGTGCACACTTGCAAGAGCGTCTCCCCAATCCCGAGCTCCGACCACAGCCAATCCCTGGTGGCTGATACAGAAGGCGATCTCTGGGGCTTTTGAGGCTGAGATGCAGCTTCCTTTTCCCTCTCGCACACAGATTTGATAGATGGTCAGTTTTCATTATTGCACGATGCGCGATGACGGAGTTGCGATCTACAAGAGAAGAACTCCCACACCTTGAGTGTTAGGCCCGCTCGAAATGCTTGTGGTCGTGGTGGGCGGCTGTTAGAGCCTGTCGATGAAGCTCTATTTAAGCCACCGCATCGGATTTGTTCATTTGTCGACTTATGGGTGTCGGCGAACGGGATCAATCTGGCGCTCGCCGCGGTCTGCTTTCGGCGATCAGCCTAGGCAGGCTGCCGCAGGCTAAGTTGCAGTATCGTGGGATGGCGGACTATTCTGGTAAATAAGTACTTTTGTTGACGATGGTTGTATCTAACCTTAGCAAGATATTACGTTTTTGTTTAACTTTCCTACCTATACCTGGTTCCTTCCAACGAAAGCGCTTTTTGTAGCTCCAACCGACCATCAACCATAGATATTGTTCCGCCGGTTCTAACACTTTCTCAGTGTAGTATCCTCGCAAATCCCGAAGGCCGGCCGCTTTCGCCATTACGCGCGAGGATCATGACCATCGTACCGTCTCTAGCGATCTTGCCAACGACACGGTTACGGCTGTCTTGCACGGGTGGTGGAGCAGCTGTAGATTCACAGGTAAACCTAGCGACGGCAGGGCTTTGGTCTGTAGAAGCGGCAGGTAATGGCTCAATTGTGATCAGAGATCCAGGAACGCGTTGCCCGTCAATGTAGGTTTCGAGGAGGGGTTTGAAATTGTTGCTGGAGGGTAGGTCTACAGAGACTATGCCTTGCACTGACACTTGTATCTCCCCATCTCCAGTTGAGGATCTGCTACATTTCGTGATTGCCAGTTTCGGCCGCTGGCTGGACCGTGTATTGTCCCGGCTGGGAATCCGGTCCGAGGGCAAGGGTGGCGTCAAGGGCGGCGATGTCCTCCTCCAGCTGCCCTGCTCATAAGCACGGCCCGCCTGAATTAAGCTGAGGTCATCGTAAGCCCGACTCAAGAAAGTCAAGCCCATTGGCATCTCCGAGTCTTCCAGGATCCCCATCGGCACTGTCACGCTTGGAATGCCTAAATGTCGCAACCCGCGGTTCCCATGGCTGTATTTGACGCCGTCTGTCCAGGCATGTCGTGCGCTGTCGTCGTCAACATCCGCATCCGCGCGGGCGACGTCGCCGGCGGCGGGGAATGCGATGAAGTCGTAGTTATGCGCTGACATCCATTCCTCAAAGAAGCGGATCCGGATCTGCTCGAGAGCTCGCATGGCTTTTTCCAGACGTGGAACGCCGTAGATGGCGCTTTTGCCTGGCCCTCTTCTGTCGCTGCGGTTGGAGACGTAGCTGGCCAACTTCGCCCAATGGACGGCATTGGCTGGCTCTGTGAACTTTACCTGAGGGTCGTCGGGGGCCAAGTGCGGGAAAATTTGCTGTGGATTTACTTGGCTAAGAGACTGAACGTGAGGATCTTGATTGTTGTTCAGGAAGTCCTCCCAGGCGTGAGCGATGAGAACACTTCGCTCTGTGCCGTTCCAGTCATCCGGAAGAAAAGGTAGCGATGGCTCGTTCTCGTTGCCAGACTTGCGTAGCATTTGTTCGTACATACGCAAGACCGGGAGGTCTGGGATGATCTCGACATGCGCACCGATGGCTTCCAGGTCTGCCTGTGCTTGACACCATAGTGGTTCGATCGCTTTTGATATGTAGGGCCCTCCATCCTGCTGCTTGAGGAATATTTCAGGAACTGCGATCCGCTTTCCTTGGAGGTACCCTGCGGATTTTGTAGATGTGAAAGGCTTTGAGGCTTTTGACCATGTAGGTGTTGGAAGTTGGATGAAAGGTTGATCTCGCCAGAAGTCGCCAACTGTATTAGGATCTTGCTTGGTAATCGCTTCCAACAGTATGAGCAGATCGTCCGTGGTGCGTGTGTGGGGAACGACCACGTCGCAGGTCGGATACAGCGGCCAGTTGCCACGAATTGATATCATTCCTCGCGAAGGGGTGTAAGCTACCAACGCGTTATTTGAAGCAGGAGAGCGCCCTGACGACACCGTCTCCTCACCCATACCAAAACCTGCGAAGGAAGCTGCAACAGACACGCCACTCCCGTTTGAGGATCCAGATCCAAAAGCGGCGGCGAGGTAGTCTTTATTGTATGGACTCTCAGCTCGCCCATACACCCCACGAAGCATTCCACCATACGCCATGGGACACATATTCGTCCGACCGATCAAAATGGCACCGGCTTCTCGAAGAATGCCAACGGTAAATGCATCTTCATTGGACCTGAGGTTCTCGAAGGCTTCCGAGCCGCTGGCCACAGTCATTCCTTGTGCCTTATAGCTGTCCTTGACAGTGAAAGGGATGCCTTCAAGGGCACCCCGTGAAATTCCAGCAACGCGGCGATCATCAGCTGCTGCTGCTTCTTCGAACAAATTCTCGTTTATTATGGGAATGGAATTCAGCGCCGTGTTTCTGCAGTCGTAGGCACTGATACGGAGCAAGTACTTTGCTACCAGGTCGACTGATGTCAGATTCCCATTGTTCAGAGCTGTCGACAAGTCGGCAAGGCTCGCATCGACAATGCTGTCAATTGGTGACATTCTTAAGGTGGTCAAGAGTCATCGGTAATGATCTGAAGTTAGGCCTTCAGCACAAGCCGCCATAGAACAGTGTTGAAAGGTCAAGCTTGTCTCTGCGGAGTATGGGACTACAAACAGCCAATTTAGCCACCAACTTTAACGGAAGTTACAAGCTTGAGAACAGCGTACACGTTAGACGATGGAAGAAGATCGCGGGATGGGGTCGATCACAGGGCGTTGGCGATATCTGATGTCAGAGAATACAATTCGCCTCTTCCTTAAGCATAGTCCGTCGTACATGCCGGAATGCGCCGCCGCATTACTGGATGGAAAGGTACAACTTCTTCCCAAAGCCATGACTTAGAATGTACTACAGATAGTTTCTGTTGTCACGAAGGAGATGTCCACGGTGCTTGATAGAACGTGGGCTTAAGGTTGGCGAATCACGGACTATTCCGCCTACTCTAGCCTGTCTTGGGAGGTGGTGCCGAGAAAGTCTCCTCAATGAAGATTGTTCCTGCTCGCTGACAGATGCCATTGCGGAGGAGAATGAACTTCAAACGGCGGGGCGAAAGAGGAAGACATGTTCTCGGGAGTGCTGATGGTGAAAGCAATGTGCTTCGCCATGTCCATGCTACAGATAGCAAGCACTGCACTCAGGGGACGTATAGTTCTACGAAATATATGTTACCTGAAACTCCGAGTCAGAGGACGAGACCCGAAACAGACTACCACTCCAAAAACTTCAAGATTTCGCGAATCAATAATAATCATATCATCAAGAATGGCAGCCATCAGATGCGTCCAAAATGGAGCTGACCAGGAAACACTAAGATCCAACCAACATGGCAGCTTTCGCATGCCAGCGGAGAGCTCACCTCATTCATATACTATCATGGGCTTCCCAAGTATGGAATCGGCAGAAAGCCAAGAGCACCTAGAGGCACTGCAATCCGAGGTAACGAGCATCGCCAACGCAATTTCTCGCTTCGAACCTGTGCACCTCTATGCTAGTGAGAAACTGATCCAACAAGCACAATCTATGGTCAGCGATAATGTCTCCATCAGACCGGCTACATTAAACGAACTCTGGGTCCGCGATAGCGCGCCGGTTTTCGTCCAAGACTTGTCAACAGGTAGACGAACGGCTGTCAACTTCAACTTCAGCTACTGGGGTGGTAAACTCCCACGCATCGGTGACGAGAATGTTGCTTCCCAGATCGCGAGCCAAGCAAACGAAGCTATGGTAACCTCAAAACTCACCCTGGAAGGAGGGGGGATTGAGCACGATGGTGAAGGAACCTTTCTTGGCACAGAAAGCTGCATAATCAACGATAATCGTAATCCCGGAATGTCCAAATCTGACGTTGAGGTGGAGCTCAGGAACAAACTCGGCGTCTCTCACTTCATCTGGATACCCGGCATCAAAGGCTTCGACATCACGGATTACCATATTGATGCGCTAGCACGCTTTACATCTCCTGGCGTCGTGCTACTTAGCAAACCAAGCCCGAATGCTGATGAGATTGTCATCGATGCCTACAAGTCCGCCCGCGCAATCCTTACATCCGGCAAAGACGCTAAAGGTCGTTCACTGACTATCCACGACTGTGAGGAGCCAGACACAAAGCTACTAGGACCGCCGGACAAGTTCAATGAAGTTATCGGAACGTATGCCAATTATCTGCTTGTCAATGGAGGTGTCATTATGCCCAAGTTCGGGCAAGAGAAACAGGATACATCAGCCATGCAATTGTTCAACAGGTTGTTTCCAGGTAGAGAGGTGGTGCAAGTCCCGCTTAATATGCTGCCGAGGACGGGTGGAGGGATTCATTGCTGCACTCAGCAAGTTCCTGAGATCTGAAGGCATTAATGCGGCAATCCGTTTCGGAGGCATCTGTATTTGTGACTTCACGAGACATGATCTAAGAATACTCTCGGAGAATCTGGCGGTGGACCTTGTAAAATAGTGTAACAATTCTTTACGACCGGCCCTGCTATATCATTCTCTCCTCGAACTTCCTCTTTAGCGAATCCAATGAATTTAAGGTGCCTGATACCTATAAACATAACGCAGGAACGACAGCTTCAGGGTTCGAAATGATGAATACTGATACAAAGTAAAGAGTAGGGCCCCATACACCAAAAGCTAACCCTTGCCCAATAAGAGAAATCCGTAACTAACAAAGTCATGAAAATATTGCTGGCCTGGGAGTATGGTCCATTGAAAGGTGGCACCTTAAGCCCGTTGGTTGGCCAAGCATCCCCCCAGAGTTCTGGCCCTCGGTCACTCGGGAAAGTCACCCAAGCTTTCCTGAAACAATTGCTCGGCCATCTGTCTCTTTTCCTCACTTCTGACTCTCAGATCGAAGTCTAACGGGAGAGGTCCTCCAATGACATTACTGGTCCAATGGTCTGGATCTGGCCAAATTGGGTTGCCCTGCTGATCTTTGTTCGGCAACATCTCAAACGCCCACAGCAGACTTCCGCAGCCTACAACTAGCTCAGCCTGGGCCAACTCGATACCGAGACATAGACGACGTCCTCTTCCGAAGCCATGGTGGCCGTGGAGGCTGGGATGTACGGAGAGAGGCTCTTTGTAGGTGGGGTACTCCGGCTCGAGCCACCGTGCTGGGTTGAAGGTGAGAGGGTCGGGGTACAGTTCAGGGTCCTGGGCGATGGCAAGGTCGATCGCGTGCACAACTGCACCTTTGGGAATGAAGTAGCCGTTGTATTCATCGTCGGCAGTCACTTTGCGCGGAACGCCTGGAAGCGGTTAGGATGGCCATTCTGGGTGGCTAAGATATCGGCGAGAAATAGCGACTTACCAAGAGGGACAGGTGGCTTCCAGCGGATGCATTCTTTGATCACAGCGCGCAGAATTGGGAGATTGGGTGAGTCAGAAACTTCGAGAACTCGGCTGGGACCGACCACCTCGTCGATTTCGGCTCGTGCCTTCGCTTGCCACTCCGGGTGCAAAACCATGGCCATCAAAAAGCAATACATGGGGCCGGAATTGGTCATAATCGCGACAGTGCACAACATACCGACTGCGTAAGCAGCCTCGTGCTCGTCCATGCCAAAGCCAAGCCCCTTGGGTACCGAGGCGGCCTTTTCAAAGTACGCGCGTGCGTAGGATTGAGGCGCTATACAGTTGGCCATGTCTTCCTTGACTTGCCACATCAGCCCCTTCCAGAGACGTTCTTCGCGCTCGCGACGCTGGCGGACGCCAATACGGGTAGTGTTGATAAACTCGGGGAGCTTGCCGAGGAATGGGAAAATGTTTGTGATGGGTCCGCTTGCAGAGGGAGATATCTGTGGAATGAACTCTCCTGCGTTTTTGGCGTGCGCTGCACCAGAGTTGGGGTTACCGTAGGCTAGTCGCGCAGATATGCGCCCACAAAAGTGGGAGCATTGGGTGTAATGGTCTTTTGGGTTTTTGATTAGGTTGTACACGTACTGTGGGGACGTTAGTATACTGAAGGCTTGCTGTCGCGAGACTACCTACACGTTTAGCTTCGTGAGTCACATAGCCGTAGAATTCCTTGCCACCCATCTCTGCAAGTATCGTGTGGCCAAACTTTCTCTGATTACGCCAATGGTCATCGTCTTGCAAAAGAGGAAGATATTGACCCTGCCTGTCGCTCCCCGGGACGGCTGGGACCTCTGGTCGAGAAGAGTACTTGGCAGCACGCTTGCAGTACAACTCTTGAGCTATCTCTGCTTTGCCTATCCATATATGCATCTCGCCGCCAGCAGTTGTAAGTCTGAAGAGTCCATCATACTCGTCAGACCATTTTTTCATCGACTTCCAGGGTGCAATGGGGTCTATTCCGTGGATGCGGCCCAGCCAAGGAAGTGTACTCCGTGGACCTGGGATGAGTTTAAGGCCTGGGGGAGGTCTGTCGTGGAAAAGAAGGTATCTGCTTAGTGAAAACACGACAGATCCTGCTAGCAATGAGAAAAGGAGCGCCCATCTGTGACTGTGTAAAATTTGGAACTCGGCGGGGGGATTCTGTAAAAGATAGGCAATCTCGCTGCCGCCGTAGGTGTGGAGGAGAGTAGTGGTATTCATACCACCAAGGCTTGTGAAGACTTCCATTATAAACGAATGGCAAGAGTCACGGCCAAGGACTATGACTTCTGGTACAATCGAAAAAGTGCAGAGGTTGTGTTGGAGACGAGACGAATAGTACAATGAGTGAGTACTACTTACCTTGATATATATATATATCTGGAAAAGAGTGAGCAGAACATCGATGGACTGTCTAGGATTGAGAAAGGAGCTGGGTTGATATCCAATTTTAGCACAGAGCCCGCAACAAAACAACGGGCAAATAAGCGCAAGGCTGTTACAATACAAATTGTACCGCGCGGAGTTGTGCAAAGACATAGTGTGCTGACAGTACTCCGTATGGAGTAGTGAAAAGTCTCTCAGGTGAGAGTTCGTGGTCTGATATCCTCCTGCAGATCATCATTTAGTAACTCCGCCTCACATCCCTCGAATTCCGTGCAACAGGTCTGGCAATTTACACATCGACATCGAAGAAGTTGCTGATTTCGAGCAACGTAGTTTCTCATTCCGCGGACAGTTCAAGACGTGTGCCTCGTATCCCAGATCTCGGAAGAGATGGCATCTCGCATGGGAAAGCCCGTACGTGATGGCCGAGATGGGTTTTGGGATGCATTGCCAAGCGAAACATATCGCGTTGTGGCAAGGCGAAACGTGGCACATCTGTCTTTTGTCATTATTGATTTGCCGTTACGCACCTATTTACCGAGTGATCGCGAGAGAACTGGTTCCAGGGGCATCAATACGACACATACCAACCGCCGAGGCCCATTCCCCGAAAACAGTATTCTTGTCCATGGAGACTGGCACAGAGCAGAAGAGCCGTTTAAGCCCGCACTCTCTCGTGACTGGGTGGCTGCGCCTACTCGTACCTTAACCCGAGGAAGTCTTGTACCTTTCAGCTGAAATTGAGTGGTCTGAGAGGGCCCAAGATGGTTTAGCGTGACATATGGCCCTTGACTAACCGGCTTTCGTAGTTGGCTCAAGTCGACTATTCCTTTAAAGGTAGCTGACTCAGTAAAATTAGTTGATAATTACCAGGTCAATAAAACCCTACCAAGATACGGTTACTCCGTAACCTAGTAGCTTCGATATGTACCCCGGACGAGGCTGCCGAGGACGAGGTAGAGTGAGAGTTCGGACTATCTTGATATGAGAGCCTTGCGCTTCTTGGTTGACTGACAGCCCGACACGTGCCATTGGACAAGAGGACCGATGTCGTCATACAGATCACCTGTTGGAACACCCCCTTTGCCTGTTCGGGTTACTCCGTACCATTGACAAAAAACAACCTTCCTCTTGAGACCTAAGACGTCAATTAGCCTGGACCGAAAGTCGACTCCAGGAGCACGTGTAGGAGTCAGCCATCCCTTAGTGGGAGAGTAAGACGAACCAGAAGTCCCTCTTGGCCTCGCTCCCTTACTCTACCATGTTATTGCTTTCGACCTGATGTTCACTGAGACTTGTTTGTTTCAAGCAGTTTGGAACAAATTCTCTGATAAGCCTACTCTTTCCGCAAGTCCGCGGTTTGTATGCTCATATAAAATGCTTCCTAAACTGTGAAATCATCTCCATGTCAACTGTTCAGGGAACTACTTGATCCATACTCTGAGCCTTGTTGGTGCTGATGGGCGTACGCATAATCCCCGCTGACTCCAAGCATTTAGGTTCTTCTGGCATGGACGCCTACCTTGAGCTCCTCATTTCAATGGTTACTAGGCAAAACAGACGAGGTATGACTTCCAGGAGTTTTCATGTTCCCTTTCGCATTCGTTGAACTCGTTCACCAGCTTAATGATTAGAATTTCTCTCGTCGCCTCTGAAGAGAACTCTGCAGATGAGCTGGTGTGAACCAACTATCTCGTGCGAACCCATCATCGTTGCTAACAAGCCCGGGCTATCTTAGCCCTACACAATCCTACCACTACTTGTCAGGCGAAAGAGCTCCGTGGTCAACAATCATCAACCATTGTGGCTTCTTGCAGTGCCAGCTTCTCAATATCGTGGGTCCTAGCTTGCTGAAGAAGACGCTGCAAATCTCAGCGACAAGCTCCCATCATTCACATGTTCCTGTCTAAATCTCAACGCCTATCATGCAGAGAATGCTCGCCTTTTATACCGGTACGATTCTGGATATGTCATAACTTCGATCTTTTTGATTACTCGTTTGGAGAGTCACTATTGGGTCGGCGGTGTGGAGCCTGCTATCTAATGCCAGGAATATCCTGATTAGGGAATAGTTTGTTCGATAGTTACGGGTCGGATATGCGAATCTGGAACTCCTTGCCCTCCGAGATCCTGCACGAGTGTCAATTCGGGCTTGGTTTGCCTCTGCTAGGCCATTCTGGGGCTGCTGCCTGGTCTCGTCAATCGTCTTGGCTAATCCAATGGGCATAGCGAGTCATCCGGGAGGGCCAAGAAACAGGTTTAGCGAGCCCATAGGGATTTGGGACTCCCAGTTAAACCAGCTGCGGCTGTTGCTGCCTAGACCTCGAAATTCGAGCGTTCTATTCCTATCCGTGGGCATTGAGGGGCACTACTCACTGTTTCTTGCAGTATCCAGCTGCATCCCGAATCTTCATCTGCAAAAGGGCGATAATGGTCCAACAAAGAAAGAAATCGCTTCGGTCTTCAGCGAAACCGCGACGATCAGGGAGAGGGGGAAAACTCGCCTCAGAGACGACAGTGAAAAGCGGGAAATTCTCCAAAGCTAGAACATCGACCGCGACAACACCTTCTAGGAAGGGTGAGACCTCTAGACAGCAGCCAGCCTTGAATGTCGGAGTTCAAATTCCTCTGGACGCCTTGGAAGCGAAGGTCACAACGGATGACGGAAAGAAAACTTCACTAGGAGAACAGCTAGAAAAGAGTCAGCCTGGTGGCTTGGTTGTCTTTGTGTATCCTAAAGCTGACGACGAAGGTGAGTCAATAACCCGTATTACATGCTCTTCCTGGGCTGTACTTTTTCAGTTGTGTATGGCGCCATCATCCCCACAACCTTCGATTTGTCAGACGCAGATGCGAAAACTCTTTACTGATTCAAAGCAAAGCGTACGACTACGCCAGTGAATTCGACTACCGTCAATTCAACTACGAGGTCGCAGCTGTGTCGATGATCGGGCTGACACCACATTCCGTGGCTGCTAATGCGGCGTTGAAGGAAGAGAAGGACGTGTATTTTACGTTACTCAGTGACCCCAGAAGCGATGTGATCAAGGCAATGAACCTCAACATATCAAAGACGAGTAGGAATGTTGGTGCTTTTGTGATTGACAAGGAGCGGACTCTGCACGCTTACAGCTGCGGGAAGAAGGATAATGTTTTGGACCAGTTGGATCGGGCGATGGAGGTGTATATGGAAGGGCTGGAGGGAAGTTAGAAGTTGAAACTTGAAAGGATGCTGCCTTCCTCCCTCCCTCCCTCTTCTGTCCCTGCCTACTATGTTATGGTAATGATTAAGCAGGTTCACATCAATGCAGGCGCTGGAATTGAACATTCTATTCCAAGATAACAATGGCCATAGTATGCCACTTGCCAATAGTAGTAGATAAGCTGTCAATGGGACAAAAACTCAACTTTTCAACCCTGCGCCTCCCAGTACAGGTGGACGGAGCTGGTGAGGTATCTAGTCCAGAGAAATTGGTTCCCGAGCTTCACAACGGCATTCACGTGCCGAAATTCAGGAAAGCGCATTTTCAAACCACGTAGGGACGACATCCCGTAATCGTTCGGTCGGGTTCCCATCCTCCATGAGTCTACGATGACCACCTGCATCCAGATCAAGCATTTCCGTTCAGCCTCTGATCTCGGGGTATACAGTGCAATACTCGTCGTTGCACGGGATCTCGCTCCTCGAAGGCAGGTTGGATATGATCTCGACTCGAATGCTATGAATAAGTAACAGATTAGGGTGAGAGAGAGAAGCAATTCGAACGTCGGTTCTAAGTCTTTCAATATGCTCAGGCAGGGACATGCTTCCCCAAAGTCGTTGTATTGTTTCATTGACCTGCCCGTCGTAGCGAGTAGCTCACGGCGCTCTCTCCTACTCAAACGCGTAATAAGTGTGGCCCGAGAAAGTATAGGTAGAATGTCGTTAGATAAAATGCGTTTGACGACCAATCTTTGAAATCCAGGTGGCAGTTTCGCAACGAATGCTTTCATAGCTGTGGAGAAGGGGTAGGTCGGATATGTTGGGTCGTGAGGGCGCCGCTCGCCCGGAAACATCGTCTCACCAGACTCCATTGCCCAGAAGGTATCGTAATGCATCAGGTAGCCTTTCACAGTGGAACCATTCTGCTGACTTTTCAGGCCTCCTTGCTGTGCGACGATGAGGGCGATATTTCTCTTGTGGATGTCATGCTCATCTAGATTCTGCAAAGCTCTATCCAGGGCAGCCAGGAAGATCATCGCGGATAATGTCATTACTTCGATGGCTTTTACCGATCGTGACATTAGCTGGTTGCGAATCTTTGCTATGGCTTTGCCCTTTTGCTTCAATGTCAATGCTGACGGTTCAGATCCGGGGGTATGGGCTTGTTCCTTTAGGAACTGAATCACACCGTATCCGGCGTCGACGAAAGACTCATCTTGGAGGCTCCCCAGGAAGGAAGCATATACGTGGAGACGTTTAAGATGTAGCACACTGAGTCGTTGCCTGGACTGATCACCTGAGTATAGAAATCGATTGTCGACCGAGCTTGGTAGCTTTCCATACCAGCTATGCAAAAGAACGGGTTAGTGCGTAAGCCCGAAAATCTTTCATGGAAGATTGATATCCTAAAAGGAGATCCTCCTCGATGACGTGATTGCGACTGCATTGATGCCAGGCTCCTGCCATGAATCTGGTCCACTTCTAGAATGTCACGTGGATTGTTCTCCTTGCGCTTTTGCTCCGGGGACCAATAGATATTGATCGGTTTCAGAGGTTGTAAACGGCGGCGTAGAACCCCAGTGCCAGAACATTCATCGGTTGATGAATTGTTAGAGGTGTCGTTTACCGAGTCTGGAGAAGGACGTGGAAGCGGCCTCGTATACAGGCGGAACGGGACAAGCGTTTTACCAGGGCCACGAGACAGTGCTCTTTAAGACTGCCCAATTCCCACATAGGTTGGCTTCGATCGGACATTCTGATGTCCAATATGAGCAGCATGAAAGCGAACTTTTGACTTCTCAGCTTCACGATCACCCTTCGAAGCGCCAGAAGGGAAATATTTGATGAAGGTGACTTTAGTGTGAAGGGGCATTCGGGTTGTTCAGTATACGATCACTGTCAAGAGGACACCATTGTTCTAGGGAGGATAAGTCAGGCATGAGTAGTCGTCGACGTTCGAACCGGGCCAGAACTTTAAGGTATCAGGGCTAGAGCAGGAAGTGATCACCGAAGGGGATTCTCACCATTGAAGGAGGAAAGGTACTCCTAAGGACAATCCGAGAGAAAATACTTAGGAATCATGAAGTCAAAGAAGGAGGAGGCTTGCAACAAATAGTCGATTCATGTTCACGTGCGAATTTTCAATTTGTTCCAACAAAATTGCGCAACATGAATATATCTCCTCCGTGAAGAGTCAATTTTAGCAGAGAAGCTTGCAGACGACAAGCAAGCCAAGGAAGACTTTAGAGTCGTTCTACTGGGGTATATGTGGGCACTGATGACAAATCCTTTCTCTTTCACCGTTCAGGGATACGGATCCTGCGCACCCGGGAATGATACGGATTTCCACCTCCTGAAGTTTATGATCGACTTTCGATGAACCCTCCGCAAAGCTGGGACTCGGACATCGAAACTCCAGGGATTGATTGGCCAGTTTCGTGGCATAATATTCCCTTGGGAACAATCGCAAAACTGAGCAGATATTACAGCATTCGTGACCTTGGGATTGTGGCCTTGGGGCCAGGAAAAGGAGCCTTTAGATCCGTTACTGCTCAGGAAGAATGTTTCTATTATGATAAGGCGTTCTAGTCCTCCTCATGAGGGCCAAGCGGGCGCCTTGAAACCCTGCGAGGCTGGGATAAAGTTTGTTCATCTCATCATTGACGAGCTACCGTCTATTCTTCCCCAGTCTAACTCTTTACACCTTGGCTCACCCCTCATTGCTACTATACTGGTCATGGCTAAATCCCAAGTTCATGGCTTGGTATCTTGGAAGTACGTGTGGGAAGATCTTTGCCATCCTTAGCCCTGTTTGAGCAGTCCACTCATAGAGATAGAACATGAGCAAACAGCGTTTGAAAGACCCCGCCATTGCGAATACGGAGTGAGAATCCCGGTTAGGAGGTTCAACGATGCCCTGTGGCTTCACTGTAGTCTAGTTCGACCACCCCACCTTGACGTGTGAAATCTTTACAGTAACAACGGTGCCGATAGCTGGAGATCCCTGGGGATAATGACTTCGCGAGATACAAGGTGTCTGGTGCAATCCCATCAGATAAACCAGATCTTCGTATCCCATGGCTTGCTGCTCTGATTGGCTCTCTGTGCAGGTGAAATAGAGCTAGCTTTATTGAGTAATTGCTGCCATCCTAAATAGGAAATACGTTGACGTTTCATATGGTTGGAGCTAAGACGTGATAGAAGTCTACAGACATTGCAATATGCAAGTGACCTCGGATGAATGAGGTCCTGAACACTCAGACGAGCCCAGTCGATGTACATGAAACTAGCTAGGGCTGGGACCCTGCATCAGCTCCCTATCATGCCCACCAGCTCTCAGCTTGTGTGGTGGGGTAACCTGTAAAGAAGCGACTCGCCCATCTACTGGCCTTGGACTATATATTGTTCTAACCCGCTAGAAATTGCAACGTTTCTGCTTATTAGCATTTGAACCGCGTCATTGAGTATCTATGTCAGATCGAGCTTGCTCGATTCAAGCATTCATTGTTGTTGACTGGCTCTTCGGTTTGCTTGAAAGTTGAAACCACTCCAATCCGATAACTTTTGCTTCAATGAGCAGCCACAAGAATGTCGCAGTGAATTCACAGTGAGAACCAGAGTTTGTGTCCCTTCAAGAGAGCAATAGCTCCTTCCTGCGCCTTGACATGTCGACCCATGCAGATATAGCTTGTGCTCATCGTTGAGCAAGCGATGTCGTCCACATCCGACATCATTAGTGTGCGGCTCTGCGCTCATGAGCATCGTTCCAAAACTCCCATGCAGGTAGGCTAAGCACAGAGTCTGACCACAACATGGCCGAAAGACATTCTTTGACCTGGTCCCAAGTCAAAACTTCGGTTAATGAGAAGAATTCGGTAAACTTGGTGACGAACCACCCACGATTCTGTCGCTTATCGTCACGATCATCGTCTGCCTGTAGACCACCCAATACGAATGACCACAGCAGCAGTTGCTTGCATGAGCTGGGCAGTTCTTGCCAGGGGTTTGCCTCTATGCACAGAGTCAGGGAATTCTTGAGTGCAAGAGTCAGGGTCCTGGCGGTGCCACCATCTGGATTCATCGGGAAGACTACGATATTGCTGAAGATTTTGAGGCCGTAGCGAGCGACCTCAAATAAGTTCCCACTCGCGGTTTCTGGAGACGAATCTTGCCCGCTCACAGAGGCTGGCACAAGGCTCAGCAGCAGATACTGTGCGGCATTACGAGCAGTGACAATCTCTGAGAATTCGATACTGGGCACTGATCCCTTGATGTACCATTCAAGGGCGTTGCTGACCAATGAGAGGGCTTCCACAACCTGAAGAAGCTGCGAACGCCGCCCGGGAAAGATCGGTAGCTGCTTCCATATCACAGGCGGACAGCTAGGAACTGCAAGACTCAGGTCAACTAAGCTCATCAGGCTTGGTGGGTCCATTGGCAGAATATAAAGCTGGGAATCCGTCTGCGAAGCATGAACAAGATCGCACCTATTACGCATCAGTGAAAGGGTAAAAACAATTTCGTACCGATACCGAAACAACTGGGAGACTGACAACTCAACAGTACTGGCAACCCCTGGCAGCTGAATTTTCGAGCATCCTCCTTTCATACCGACAAGGCGCACTAAAGCTTCGCTATGTGGACTTCGAAATGGCCTCGAGCTATAGATGTGGATAAACTGTGCGGTCCTTAGTGGCGATCTAAAGCGAGATGCATGTACGCTCTCAAGGGTGGCAATCTTGACTTGGCCGGCGAACAATACATAGTTGCCAGCGAGCACTACGATGGCCCCCAGCAAATTGTCGGAGGGCGGTCCGCTGATAGACTGGAGTTCCTCGTTGACAAGCTTGATCATCTCGATACGGTAGGAGAGGCATAGTTGCGAGAAGCCTTTCGTCCTGGAACTGGCACCGCTGAGCAGCTCGTAATTCTCGGCAGTGCCTACCATGTAAGCGTAGAATGCAAGCGGTGCTTGCCGTATAGCCTCGAGATACATGGTTACCACAGGATTTTTGGGATTCGGCATGATCCCTGGAGTCAACCCTGCCCAGAAGTGATGTACAGCTTGCGCTAATATAAGTATATGTACCCAATAACAAGAGTCTGGGTTTTCTTGGTACCGTGATCGACCAGCTCATGCACTACTTCCGGTATCTCAAGCGCCGTAAATGTGTCGAACGGATCTTTCCTTCCCTGTCCAAGTATGTCAAGGAGAGGAGTGTGTTCCTGTCGCACCGGCACTACTTGTAAGCCACCGTCTTGCTGGCTCAGTAGTGGCGACTCACGAGCCGCATGCCAGGGGAGAAAACTATGGGCATCCTCAACAACACGTGGAGAGACTCGTCTGCGACGCTTTTGCCGACGTAGCTTCGCAGCATGAGAAGCGATCGCAGTGCGAGTTCGTTCGCTAGCCATATCCTCCAGACTGGAGATATTCACAAAGTTCTGAGCCTTCATGATAACGTCTGCTGATTCAGACTGCTTGCAAGCCGAGGACCATCACATCCTCGATGGGGCTGTTGTCGCACGTCAGTGCCATGTCACAAGGCTGCCGCACACAACTTCTGTAGACAGCGTGCACATCTTAGCGGGGTACGTCAATTGTAAAATGTTGGGTGCTTCTAGTTAGAAAGCGGGGTTTCCAGTGTGAAATTAATGCAAGGCAGGGAAATTTTTGGGTTAGTTGGATGGCCCTAATCATCGTGTCCCGTTCAGAGCCCAGGGATAGACAGGCTTGTAGGGTTTTCTCATTCGCTGGACTGAGCCAGCTTTGGGAACCTAGAGGTTGAGCCCCGTATCGTCTGACTCCTCGTGCGAATAAGAGTCAGCACATGTCGACTAATTACCGTAAGCTGTTTAGATAGCTCGGTGGTGAGGTTGCATGCTGGAGTGTTTATGTGGTCCCGGAAGGCTGACTTCCCTATTCCCCGCTCGATCATGATAACCGACCCAGCCAACTTCCACGGGCTTTGCTAAGCACCCATGCCCGAGATCTACTTAGCGTGATGCCCCTGAGGCTACTGGTTCACTTTGAGGCATTCATTGCACAAGGTGACAAGGGCTTTGGGCCTTACCGTGCAAGCTACCTGATCAAAAAATCTGAGAGCCGCTTATGTCAGTAGCTGCCGGGCTCTGACTGAATAGGACTTCGAGGCCAACTCCAGTGAAGAAGAGCTGAGGTTTACTAGACCCACGAGCCGAGGGCGCCTTGACTATGGATGTGATATTGGAAGGGGTCAGGCTTTCGGTTGGATGTCTCTCTGTATAACATGCCTACCCTCTATACTTCTAGGTAGAGCGGGCCCTCAAATGTAGCGTATCCCTCTTAGGGGTCGTTACAGCTCCAAGATCTCGACCGTCTCCCCAGCCCCTTCAATATCCGAGTAGGAAATTCGGATTTTATTACCAGCCTCGAACTTGCTCTGAAGCACAGTGACCCTCGAATCGCCTGGCACGTCACTTGCAGATATCAGCACACACTTGTCGCCATCAAAGCCTGCTGGTTCCTTGTGAGCAAGCGCTGCCGTTTCCTCGATAGTGATTACGCGCTCAGCAACGCGTCCACAGATCTTAGAGTCCCAGAGCCCCTCTCGACGGTTGCATAAGAGGAGGAGGAGAACTGCTCGACGCTTGATACGTGGGCTTCGACATCGTGCGGCTGCCCAATACAGATGTGGGACAACTCCGAAGCGCATGGAGAATGAGGGCATGAGCTCTGGCTTATGTTTACGGCCAGAACCTGTTGTACTATCTGGACTGTCTCCGCTGCTTTCAGATCTTGGTATATGAGACTCATCGCTGAAATACTCGGTCCAAAAGTTCTTCGTGTCTAATGAAGACTTATCCCCCGTTCCCGGTGATGTTTTGTCTAAGAAGACTTCAGCAGCCATGACTATCTCTCGAAACTGATCCTCGAATCGGTCAAAGTCAATTTCAAAGTTTCTGATATCAATATCAAGCGAGATCGATATGGAAATGCTTGTTATGGTAAGTATCAATGCCTCAGGGGGCATTTGACTTAACGAACTGAGAGATGATGGAGGACCATAGTGCAAGATGTGCGTGGATGATCTCTTCCATTGCTTGTGGTGATCCTTGAAGGCCTCCCGCTGCCACCACAGTTTCCCCGCCCGTTCAGCAGAGGGCCTTTGGCTTTTGAAAGCTTCATCGGCGTTTGTGTAGAAGTGCATCAGTGCACAATAGAGTTGCTCTAACGCAAACATGGCCTCGTTAGCTGAGGTGAATGCATCCGGGATCACGGTCAAATGCACGGTGCACGTGTTCGATAGCATACAGTTGTCGCCCATGGCCATCACTTGAGCATTGACTCGCATTAGAACTTGGTGTAACAGCACACGGGAGAGTGTGGTGAGCCTGGTTGTGTCCATGCTCACCACTTTGTGAGACATTATGTTCATGCCTGAGAGGATATGGCTGATCAAGGATTGATAGTGACCCCTTAGACCCTCAAGGCAAGAGAACAAGACACAAGCTGCGAGCGCCAGGTCAAAAGCATGCTCTTGCTTTGCTGCGTTGAGTTGAGTTACTTCTCGAATCGCTTTGTTGTACTGTTCCATTGAATAGTCGAGCAAAGGCAAATCGGCGGAACCGCTTGTAACATATTGCTCGTGCATACTGGCGACCGCAACGACGGCAGGGCGGATAGGATTTCTGCCATCGGTCGCAAGCTGAAAGAATTCGTACCACAGTTGGCTTAGGAAGGATCCCTCAAGCTCTGGAGCAGTTCGCTGCATGAAGAACTTCAAGGCCCTCTTCTCCCGCCAATCCATGTGTGGCAGAGCGTCCGGTGTGTACTGAATGACTTTGAACTGCGGCAAGATGGACGGCCTTCATCACATTTGACACGGCGAAGTCTATGATGGCTTTAGATACGCTGTGACAGGAGGTTGAGTACCTATTGACATACTTGCAAGTTATGCAACCAGTGCGGACCTTCGACCCGCCATAACGGGGCTTAGTCTCATGGTTCATCCCAAATCAAGAAGACTCTGCCAGTTTTGATTCCCGTGTTCTTCCGTGGGTCTGAAGGCGCGACCCCTCGGCTTTGCCTGACTAGTGTCTCTCTCCCAGCCTTCGGGTACGTAGGAGGAGCGAGAGAAGCAGGAGGTCATCGAGCCAATTTAAGCAGCGTCATGAATCGCGGTATTGACCAGGCCCCCGAGAAAAGATTCTCAGTTTCGACATGGTGCCCTTGTAAGGCTGCCTGCAGTTACGAGAAGGGTCGGTCATTCGAGAGTGAGATAACTTATTCCACACTCGGTCTCACTCATTTTGTAAGAGTCGTCATGCAATCTACACCGTCTTAGCATGGGGGAGACTGAGAAAAACATCGCCTGTTATAATCCCCGCCGCCGGTAGGTTGCACCGCCATACCAGAAGGAGTTAAACACATACGAGGATTCGCAAGCCGTGATTGGCTAGTGCATAGCGACAGGCCAGCCCGTGTATCAAGGGCGACGGCATACTGTAGAGGAAACGAGAGAGTAGCTACAGTTTATATAAGGTCCCCTAAATTCTCGTTGGAATGGAACTTACTTGAAGGACGAAAATATTTAGTTACTTAGAAAGATCAGCGCTGCTCTGCTTTTGCGTTATCATGAAAGACCTAATTCTTCTCACCCTATCTATTTTCCTTCCAGCCGTTGCGTGCCTGAGCGATGCACTACCTGGGGCTTCAGTGTTCTATCCCTGCCCATTCATCGGTCCAACATATCTCCAACCAACCAACCTCAGCAAAGATCCAACAATCAAAGCGGCTGCTGGCAATACTACCGCAGTGCTCCTTGACGCAATAGCGACCGGGCTCCTCGAAAACCAAACCACGGCATTCTCTCTCACAGCATTCTCAACATCAGATGAGAAGTCGACTCCGTTCTATACATTCCACCAGACACCGCCGATTCTGGCTGAGGCGCCTCTGGGCGTCAAGAATGTCACCGGTGATACAGTCTACCGGGTTGGCTCGTTGTCGAAAGTCCTCACAGTCAATGCTCATTTGGTCGCGGATGGATTCAAGCACTTTCAAGACCCGATCAGTGACTTTATCCCAGTCTGCTGGAAAACAAGTATTCATCTCCGATAGAATCCACCGTTTGGGACGACATTACCCTGCAGGCGCTTGCGAGCCATATGGGAGGTATTGGTGTTGAGTGTAAGTAACATCACCGGTGGACCCATTCAGCGAATAATACTCCATACATGTGATTTCCAGATGGCGCTCTTGACATTGCAAAGTCACCGTTTCCATACACAGAGCTCGACAGCCTCCCAAAGGTGCCTCAGCAGCAGCTGCCGCCTTGCGGTGGCCCGCTGGGGAGTCCTCTGTGTACCCGCGAGCGTAAGCTTCACCTACCATGAAGGAGTTTGTTGTAGCACAATCCATCTAACCACGCCCTCGCAGAATTTCTAGAAGGCATGACAACGAAACACCCGGTATTTCCGGCTTTCCACAGTCCATCGTACTCCAACGTAGCATTTTCGCTACTAACCTATGCGACTGAGGCAATTACTGGCAAGAAGTTTCCAGATATCTTGCAGAGCAAAGTCTTCTCGCCCCTCAACATGACACGCTCATTCTATGAAAAGCCCTCTGACGATCTGGGCGTCATCCCTGGAGATCCGACCATTCTCTTTTGGAATGTCTCGGGCGGTGAGCTAAACCCCGGGGCGGGCTACTATTCATCACCGAACGACCTTGCGATCTTTGGTCGTACAGTATTAGGATCGAAACAGCTTACGACAACCCAGACCAGACGCTGGATGAAACCTGTCTCCCATACTGCCGATCCTTTCGCATCCGTGGGTGCTCCATGGGAAATTGCTCGATACACGTTGCCGACCGACCCATATAAAACTATCGACTTGTATGCGAAATCAGGTGCTTTTGGCTATTACACCGCATACTTGATCCTTGTCCCGGATTATGGTGTTGGCTTTAGCGTGAACGCTGCCGGATCGGTCGGGGCGACAGGTCTTCTCGCAAACATAATAACGGAATCCTTCATTCCAGCACTCCAAGAAGCATCACGTCTGCAGACTGAAGCAAACTATGCTGGACAATATGTGTCTTCAGACAAAGAGTATTCGTTCATATTGAGCAGCGATCAAAATACACCTGGGCTGCACCTCACCAATTTCACTGGGCCCGAAGACAGCAATGTCTTCGCCACACTCGCGCTCCTTGCTTCAGTGGCGGCTGGCCATTACGACGTCGCTGAGCAAACACTGCCGCTATTCCAGAATGGGTCTGCCCCAGCAGCGTATAACGCCGGCCTCTTTGGCCTGGAGATCGACCTGCGGCTGTTTCCAACCATGCTAGAAGACAACATCAAGGAACACAACGGTACGAAGAGAGTCGGTTTCAGAGCCGCGGCAGGCTTGTCTGAAAGCCTGCCACCAGGACCGTTCACTGCTCCTTGTGGGACATGGCTGGTTCTCGATACTGTAGAGCTGGGCGGCAGCAGTTTTGATGAGTTTACCTTCGACGTCGATGAGAAAGGGGCCGCAGTTGCTGTAAATCATAGGTTTTTGAGGCAGACCTTCACACGGTATGATTGAGAAGAGGACGGGGAGGACGGGGAGCAGCTCCAATGTTGACGTATCAATGACTCTGTCTCTGGATCCTTCGAACATAAGTTGGTGTGGTGGATTGTTTGGCTATTTATGACTCATTCTATATTCGGGTGAGGATGCCGTTCCTTCCCTCCATTACCAAGATTCGGGTTGTAGCCCCATGAATATCTTACCGGGCGCCATCATTCGCCAGCAGACCGGATGCCAAGGCCTCCAGGTCTTCCAATGTTTGTGGTTGTTCCACTGCACGATCCGCACGGTGTTTATGCTTCTTCTTCGCTGTCTTCTGTCTTGATTGCTGATCGCCATCACCTTCCGATGAAGATGGATCCTCAAACCATTTCTTTTGTCGTTTTGCCTTGGGAGGCGGTGTTCCTACCTCATCGCTCTCATAAGCTCTCGAGGTAGTGATTTCTTCATCTTCATCATATGGGGCTAGGGTCGCCAATGGACCACCGACCTCGTCATCTTCTTCGTTGGCTAGCATTGCCCTCTCTCTCTCTCTCCTTCGATCTTTCTTCTCTCGTTTCTTCTCCCTCGCAACTTCCTTGTCAACAACATCCATCTTCCTCGCCCTGTCGCGCTCGCGCTCCAGGAAGCGGGCTTTCTCCTCCTCGACACCAGACTTGCCTTGGTTTGTGAATGTTGCTTCATCCCGATACGCGCGGTGGTTTTGCGGCGTATCCGAGTCCGAGTCGAAAGTCATGTGCGTGCCGTGTCCTTTGTACTTGAGAAGTTTCTTCTTGGATTGTAGTAACTTTTCGCGGCGGTGTGAGTCGATTGTTAAAGGTTCAGCCGAGGGATTGGTTGAGAGTTGTAAAGTCTTGGGTTTGGGCTGCTTTTCACTCCTGCTCCTGGCCTGCCCAGAATCACCATTTCCTGGTCCTAGCTCATGCTCTGAATCTGTTGCCGCTGAAGAGGTTGGGTCTTCTTGTTGATCGAGGTCCGAGTCTCCGGCTTCGAACCGCCGCTTCACGGAAAGGAAATCGTGGTCAGAATCTGCATCAGCTGCATGATCACGCACCAGCCTTGACTTGCCAGCCCAGTCGTCATTGTCGTTATCTATTAGTTTCGTGTAGTGATCCGCCAGAACGTCCTGATTACGACGGTCAAACATCCGATCATATTTCGTGCGCACAGTCTTTTGTTTATCCCTCGAGCCTTTCTTGCCAATGGTGGCGTCACTGTCATCTTCACTGCTACTACCAAGTGCTGCGACGAGGGCTCGGGGGGCATTCTTCCGAGCCTTCGCATCTTCACCTTTGACAAACCTGACTCTAGGTGCACCAGGCAAACCCAGACTTGCAGCAAACTGCTCAAGGTCAAGTTTCTTCAGACTAAACGTCTCTTTGTCTTTCTGGATGTGCACACTTCGCACATAGCTGACGAATGCTTTTTGTCCAAGGTATTTCAACTCGGGATCCTTGAAACACATGTTCTGCAATTGATTCCGAACCGTGTTTTGCATTTTCTTCTGGCGCACATGGATCTTCTCCAAGGTAACTTTCTTCTTGCCCAACGCGTCCAACATTCCCTTTTCTTCACTGGGGTCAAGAAACATCACGGCATGACCCTCGTGCTCAAAGCGCGCAGTGCGTCCCACACGGTGGATGTAGGTATCGGCGTCTTCTGGTGCATCGACTTGCACTACCCAGTCGACAGCGGGAAAATCCAAACCTCGAGCTGCAACATCGGTCGAAAAGAGGCAGGCGTACTTGCTGTTCGAAAACTTCGTGGTGATGTCCAGGCGGGCTGTTTGCTTTTGGCGGCCATGTAGATGGAGCAGTGAGATACCTGGTTGGAGGTGACGGAAGGACTCGTAAACGAAGCGGACTTGCTTGCCGCTGCTGAAAAAAACCAGTATCTTCTTCTTGACATTGGCTCTGATAAAAGACCATAGGGTATCGAGTTTTTCTGGCAGGGGCGAGACAATGTAGTTTTGTTGTAGACTTGAGGGTGTTGCACTATCGGCAGCCTCGTGAACGGAAACAAACTCGGGTTCCTTCAGACTCAGCCTGGCCAGATCTGAGACCTTCTTCGTCTGGGTAGCACTGAAAAGAAGAGTCTGTCGTTCCGATGGGAGATGCTCCACGAGAGCGTCTATCGTCTGCTGAAATCCCATATCCAGAATCCTGTCAGCCTCGTCCAGAACCAGCATCTGTAAATTGCCGATCTCTAGCTCTGCGGTCTGGTCCATATGCTGAAGCATTCTACCGGGGGTGGCAACTAAGATGTTCATGCGACCCAGCCGTTCTTTCTCTTCCTGCAAGCTCTTGCCTCCAATGACCAGTCCTGCGGAGAACGTGTGATTCCGACCAATCTTGCGCAAGACATCGAATATCTGGATCGCCAGTTCCCGAGTTGGTGAAAGGATAAGTGCGCCGAGCCCATCATATTCTGTCCATCTCTTCCTGTACAGGTTCTCAAGAACGGGTACTAAAAAGGCAAGTGTCTTGCCAGAGCCTGTCTTGGCTGCGCCGAGGATATCTGAGCCTTTCAGTGCTAACGGAATCGTTCGCGATTGGATAGTGGTAAGGGACTTAAAGTGGGAAGCCTCTAATCCATCTGCTGTTGCTCGCGAGAGTGGCAGATCTGAGAAACTCTCAGGCGGCGCAGAAGATTTGGGGTCGAGGTCGTCAACTCTTTGGGATAGTGCGTCCAGATCTTCTTCTTGTCGCTTTCTCTTGAGAGCTCGCGGCTGCTGGGATGCCCTGTTGAACTTGGGCCTTCCATTATGACCTCCTCGTGGCCCCATCTTTTAGTGTTGGTCGCGAAGGGACGTTAAGTATGAACTTTTGACTTCTCCAACTGTAGAAAGATGAAAAGAAATCTTTCCGTACTGCCCTTATCGATACGGATTTAGCGCAGCCTTGCGGCCAAAGGCTTCTTGGCAAGGCTAGCTTAGTCTTAAACGTAAATTATGTATTCTTAAGTAAAGGCAAATATAAAGAACTATAGTAGAGTCTAATAGGAAGGAACATATAGACATAGTTAAGTTATTTTACTATACTACCTTATGCTTAGGAGTAATTAATCCCCTGGTGCCTATTAAAGTTGCGCCTACTTTACGAGTTAAGCTAGTTACCTTAGGAATCTTTGCCTCTAGGATGTATTAGTGTCGCTCATAGAGTTATTCTATTACTAGATTAGATCTGTCACGGGTTGAACCCGTACAATGCCCTAGGGGTGCTCCCTAGGGCGAGCAACGCCCCTACGTGACTTCCCTCTATCGATTATCCCTTAGGTAAACTATACGATCCACTATAGGAGAGAGGAGAGAATATCTCCTTCTCTCGTACGGTAGATAGATCTTTCTTTTTCTTTCTTTCTTTCTTTAGCTTTAGAATCCTCGTTAAACGGTAGTTAGGTTAATTGAAGAACTCCTAGCAAAACCCTCATAAGATCCTACTATCTAGCTAGCTTCTATATAAGATTTACTATAGGTTAAGACTCGGTAAGCAGGACTAAAATTGCTAAGTATATACTTAGTATTGTACTAGAAGGACAATATTCTATTAAATTAGGTTCGATCCTCTCTCCAGCCATCCCAAGATCCAATAAAGCAAAAACTCAAACCCCTTCGAGCCCGCCACCGGATCGGGTTCGAAGGTGATTTGAGAAAATCCCCGCAAGGGAATTTTTTTGTCAGTTACAGGGGGAGGGGAGCGGTGGTCCCAAACGAGCTCAGAGAAACCTCCTAGCTTAGTTCAATGGATGTAGTCCAGTGGAGAGAAGACAAGAGGAATTGTTTGGGGGGAGAGAGAGATTTGAGAGAAGGTTTACCACTGGGCCATTGGACCAGTGGGAAGGAGCTTCTCTGAGATCGTTTGGGGGGCCCATTTCGGTAAGGGAATCTCGGTGACGTGGATATTTAAAGGTTTAATTGTTCAATCATGTGATGAGAGTGACTTTCTCCTTTAGGCTCGCTCGTGAAGCCCGAAGAGCTGGTAAGAGACTTGACTTACTGCGTACTACCGAACCATCAGGGTGGTCATTTTGAGAGGAGTCTTCACCAGCACCCCTTCCTCGCTCATACTAGATGGTGGTCTCCACCTTGCTGAGAATCTAGCTGTCGCTTCTTACCAACGCACTGATTCATTGTACCAAAGCCACCAAGGCTGTCGTGGTGGCAGTGAGCACTCCATCAACAAATATTTCCCTCCCTGCCTTGGCTGCACAGCGGTAGGTGACCTTTCGTCAACGACAGCCTCGGATATCAATGAATAAATAAAGGGTGACAGCAATGCGCTTCTCAACATACCACATGTCGAGCAGAACGCCTCTCCCAAAACTCGACAGCTACCATTGGAGAAGCCCAAAGAACTACATGATTGCAAATTTTAGCAAAACCAGATGTCGTTTGATATGCGCAATGCTCCGCCGTTTTCACCCCAACGAGTAACCCAAAGGGAGGCGGATTATCTTAGTCAGCCCGCAGCAACCTCTCCGAATGGGGTTGATGAACCTCGGTAAAATGCTTCAACTGGGAGAATGCACCCAGCATACAGAATCGGGGTGAGCGACATCCTGCTTTGTCCTCTGGCAATTGAACGGCTAAGAGAGCAGGCCTGATCTACATTTTCACTGCATACTGTTCTTCTTATACTGCTCTTCCTTCCACAGAGATCAAGTAGGACAATCACCTCCAACGACCTCTCCACTCTCTATTACTCCACCTGTACCTTCCTCCCAACTGCCACCCACTTCTCGCTCACCCCTCCGCCTCTGTGAGACAAGAAAAGATGACAGCAGCACCGAAACGCCGCCTCGCGGCTCTCTCCGAACAACTCACCAACGGCATCCCCAGCACGGGGACATTCGAAAACATCCCCCGAATCCGCTCCGTGGCACCCAGCCCCTCCGCCGGACAACGGGTTCAGGGAAAAGTCGTGATCGTGACGGGCGCCAACAGCCCAATTGGTATCGGCCGGGCCTCCGCACACCAGTACGCGCAGAATGGGGCCAAAGCGGTGTACATCTGCGACTTCGACACAACGTACCTCGAAACGCACAAGCGGGAGCTCGCCGAACTCTACCCGGCCACGAAAATCCACGCGGTCAAGGTCGACGTTGGTGAGGAGTCAGAAGTCAAGGCGGTGGTCGACGACGCGCTCGCAACGTACGGAAGACTGGACATCATGTTCGCGAACGCGGGGATCGTGGGAGTGCCAAACACGTTTGAGCATATTTCGCCCGAGGCGTTTATGCGGACGATGCGAGTGAACGCGCTGGGCGTGTTTCTGTGCTTCAAGCATGCGGCGCTCGCGATGCAGAAGACCAGCGAGGAGAAGAAATACCCCGGCGGCAGCATTCTGGGAACGGCCTCGGTTGCAGGGCTCAGGTCGAATGCTGGAGGCACAGATTATAGTGCCAGCAAAGCGGCCGTGGTCTCCTGTGCGCAGACGATGGCATATCAGCTTGCTGGCACGGGAATTCGCGTGAATGCGTTGTGCCCGGGAGTCATTGAGACGGGCATGACGAAGCCGATGTTCGATGCGGCACGGTCAAGAGGGACGGAAAGGAAAATAGGGCAATTGAACCCGCTCCAGAGAGGAGCGGTGGCAGATGAAGTAGCTAGGGTTGCACTGTTCCTGGGCAGTGACGAGTCAAGCTATGTAAATGGTCAAGCATGGGCTGTGTGTGGTGGACTCAGCGCTGGCCATCCCTTTGTTCCTGGCAAGATAGCATAAAGGTGTCCAGAATACTGCATTCAACCCACGAGATCCTTTTGGAGTACTTCGAGAACCTGGTTTTCGTCTACCCCTCCCAGATCATTCGAGCCCTCTAAAGCGGAGGTGTCCTTGGATACAAACTTTGGCAGCTCTATCGGTATCTCTGATCCGTGCATCTCGTTGTACTTTTCCTCCGCAATATAAGGCTTTGATAGGTGGTCGGGACTTTCATCTCTGATATGGATGGTGGGAAATTCCAACAGAGTCTTGTCTCGAAGGGTATCCTGAATAGATGAGAGTGGCGATATGGGAATCAGACACTTGAAGTTAGAAGGGGTATTAGGTCGATGAAGATAAAAGTGAAGATCCTGCACCAGGGTAGTGAGATCGATAGCTTGAGATGTTTCTGCATTGTCAGAGAATCGCTCTTGTGAGCCATGGCTTGGTTTCTGAGCCTGGGCATTGGCTGCATCGTCGAGGGTATTTCCTTGATTATTCTCTTCCTTGGGCGGAAAAGGTTGGGCCTCCCCGGTCAAATCCCTCTTCTTGGCTGGAGTAACAGAATTTATGGTTGGGGCAGAAGCTGTTTCAGAAATGCTTCGTTTTCGCTTTTTGCGGTTAATGGCCCTCCGGCCCCAAAGACTCACGAAGGCTTCGGCAATAGTCTTAGAACCGGGGATATTCTGCAATCGTTTTTCGCCATCATAGCATAGCCATTCAATGGTCCACATGATACATTTATGCCTAGGGGAGGTCAGGGTAAAGATCTGCAAGGAGAGAAACAAGAGACGTACTGTCCAGCCCAGTGGGAGGTGTTCTGCTTGCTGCGCGAAAGCCCTTGAGGAGCCTTGATTATGCAAATTCTCCTCTCTTCCACCTCCTGGTCAAACTTTGATTTGACATCTTGAGAGCGTCCTTTGAGACCACTTGGGGTCAAATCAATACCTCTGTCTAGGACCAGGTCATCGGCTTTGGACAGGGATCTCTCGATGGAGGAGATGAAATTGAAATCTTGGTCAATTGAGGAGGCTGAGGCTAGCTCAGTTCGCGGGCGATAGGCGGCGGGATTTCTGATGCCTGAACATTGAGCCCAGGTCTTGTGGCGTTGGACGCAAGGGAGAGAACATGTATGTATGCCGCATCTTGGGCAGGTGTATTTGATGGGGTTCGCATGGCTGGTATTGTGTCAGTCCAATGTGCGGAGAGATGGAGGATCAGTCAACTACCAAATAGTGCAGAGGTCAGTGAGTGGAGTATCGCCTCCAGTGCCTTGCATAGCGAACTCCGAGATCAAGGTCTAGCCGGAGTCCATGTGGGATGCGTCTGTCAAAAGATGCTGCATGGCGTTCCCGCGTTCATGTTTCAACACTGCCGGTAAAGGAAAGGGAAACGCGACGAGTTTTTTGGGCTCTTCGTGTTACCAGATTGGATCAGTCGGGAATTCGCAGGTCAGGTGCAGGCTGCAGGGCAAGACGGCAAGAGGGAAAGGTGGGGTCGAGGAAAAGTCCGTCTGCAACTCTGACTGGCAGCTGCCTCGATAACAAGCGATAAGAGGCGAGGTGCACGGAGAAGATGGGAGTGGGCCAAATCTTGCATATGCAGTCAGCCAGTGCATCCCAAATGCAAGAGCGACACAATCTGGCAGAAGCCAAACACACGTACTCCTACAAACAGGTCGCGCGCTTATCACTGACTTTCGCTTGATGTGGGGATTTTACGTGTTCTGCATTTCCACGCGTTCTTTTCCGGCTTCAAAGTTCGTGTCATTGACGCGCCTAGGACTTGACAGCAGCGTTCGCCATCTATTTTTGAGGCGCATCATCCTGCATCCACGTGTCTTTTGTACGTACAAGTCTACGTACAAGCCTCCGTACGAGGAAGGAGGAAGAACCTTGTCACGGAGTGCTATGTGCGCGACTTTTTGTTGTTGACTGACCGCTGCTTCACCACGGAGGACGGGGTACTACTTGACGCAAGATGCATCCTTGTGTCACCTGATCATGCAGTCTCGGGAGGAGGAGCAGTCCACCCCGTGTGTGTTGCAGCTGTTCGCCTATTCTGCTTGTTCCGTGATGATAGTCACTGCCTTGGATGTTCATCACAGTGTTCGGAGTACGTGGTAAGAGTTATCCTACGGCTCCCGATACGGGGTTACGGAGTAGAAGGTATTGGATTTCAAAGAGAGGTTCAACTACTCGGTAAAGGCCTGCAAGCTGGAAGAACTGCAACAAAAAGTCTGATCGGCACAACCTGCTCAAAGGTGGTTGTGAAACTCACCACGCACCATAGCTGTGTTCTAGATCACCGCGAAGGTGGCATTCGCCTTGCCCAAGCTTCGATCCTTCCGGAAGCTCCGTCTGCAACAGTTCTGCGACTCATGCCGTATTCGTGTTTCGTTCGGGCTATCTCGTACATACAGTACGTCTTCCATCATGATCAGGTGCAACGTGAAGCACCTAATTACTGACCGGGAAAAGGCTGCGCAAGACAGACTTCTGATAATAGAGTGGCTACGGGCCAATCGAAAGCCAATCTTCGATTTCTACACATGGTTCCAACTAGTCTTCTGCATCAGGGACAGAAGCTTTTCTAGGATTAATGGCCGACACGCAATAGTCACGAAAGCCATGATGATGAAAAGTGGCTGCCCTGGCGACGATTTGTGATCCAAGATTCCCCAGTGTAAGATAGATGAGGGTAACGGCCACCTTCACCAACTGTCAACCGCCAAAGCCACACGAGAGTCATCACACACATAGCCGAAGGTGCAGACGGTCCTTGAGCCCGAATATGTTGTTCCCAGATAAGTTGGGTGTCTCACCAAGGATGGAAGCGAGGGTGTCGCTCATACAGTAGAAAAGCCGCCCAAGACGGGGAAGGTGACAGGTGACCCCTGAAGGATGCAGGCCATCATTTAAGCCACCAACAGCTGAGGGACCGTTTGACATTGTTGGACTTGGGTCTGATTTAGGCCTGCGGAGTCGTGGGTAGTAGTACTCCGTACGAGCAGTCTTCCGGTTTGGAGGAGATCGACAGGAACAGCTTACTCGGAAAATCTACGAGTAAGGTCCTGAACTCCTCGCCGAGGAGGTGGCACTTTGGGGAGGAGGGCAGTGGGTGTGGCAAGCCCTGAGAGAGCGATCAAACAAGCACTAGAGTTACTAGTAGCGAGTGGGTTAGGGATCCCTGGCGCCCCTAAGACCCCTGCTAGCCAAATTGAGAGGGTCTGCCCGGGGAATTCTGCCGGCCTCTTCAGGAAAGGAACCAGGAAAGGAGGGGCCATGAACAAGGGCATCCAGGAACCAAACAGTGGGCATGGGCCACTTGAGTTTCAAGCGGGAGTTAAGCGGGAGTGCCTCTGAAGCCATTTGGGCGGGCCAGCTGTTTAACAGTACTAGCAGCGTCCTAAGGGGGTCGTAGTGCCTCGTGCTCTCCTGGCCAGTCTCTCGGTCCCCTGTCCAGGCCCTCAACCTATGCCTAGGGAGGAGTTATAGCTGTCTGCTAACATCAACCTCGAAGCTGCACCACCACCACCACCTCCTCCTCCATTTGGGCTCATTATTGAATTTCTGGACGCACTGAGAGTCAACTTGATATGCGGATGGTCACTCATCGTCCCAACTGACAATCTGACAGCTCAGCCTCTGGACAATTGCTGTGGTCAACTCTTTGACAGCACTCCAACACGCCTAGTCCAACCCAAAGTCCGTGCCGTGTTCAATGCAAGCCACCTTGATGAGGGAACCCCTGCAAGCCTCTTTTGACTAGACTAACAGGGGCGTGTCTGTGGCCACTTAATGCCCCTGTTGGTTTGAACCTCCGGCAGGCTTGGCCTGACCCGAGTTGGGACCAAGAGCGACGCTATGCCCGCTATGCCCGCTACTCTCTCGCTTCCACCGCAACCCCCCGTGGCCAGAGTAGGTCCCTCTAGTCCTCTATCAAACCAACTCCTGAATCTTGCAACAATCTCCTGCTTCAACTCGGGTACTACTGTTTATTCTCGTCCCATCCCCTCCCATCTCTAGCTGTCCCGCTCCAGTCTCTCATCCTCTCCTTCCCTTTCCTCCCCACACCGTCCCTGGCAGCGACCTACACCAGACGGCCATCAACTGAGTGGCCGTGACAGCTGCAACAAAGCTAGCTGCCTTGAACTGTGATATATCTAGAACGACATTTCAAGGACGCGGTGGCGGCCACAGCCTAGTCCCGCCATTCGACCCGTCGAGAGTAACGACGTATTGCACAGACGACAGTGCAAAGCCTGCCTATCTGACATATTTGACTACCGCTTCCCGTACGCTGAGACCTCTTCCTGCACCCTCTCCTGACTCGAGGTCAAAGCAATATGGGTCCATCACTCAGAGGTCACACCTCCATGACCTCAATGGCACCACGACCTCAAACGCGTGATACGAATCGACCGGCGACGAGAGAACAGGTGGACAATGCTATGATCCCAAGTAGGACCTCCTCTCTACATTCGAGAATCACCCAACCCCTACCTTCAACTCTTGCAAAGTCAAACAACCGACCAACTCCGAAAACCCTCACTCATGCCTATATGGTATGTGGTGTTGGAAGGGAGCCTTCGCAATGGGTCAAAGCGCCCCCACCGTCCCACGGCAAGATCCAGCATATGAAAGGAGCTGTTGGCCAATTCTGGCTCCCTGAAATTCTGGGCAGCAGTCCCCGTTTGGAAACCGACAATGAAATTGCACGAGCATTGCACAGCGCCATGAGGGTGAGATTGGCCCCGACAACATCTTAATGGACAAAGTTACTGATTGATTCTGCAGGCTTGTTTCCCTCATGATGTGGAAATTTGCACTGGTCGAAGTCAACCCCATTGCGTCCACCACTCATTTGTCCTCCAACAGGACTCCCAGCATACACTTTATGGCATTGCCCTCAGAGTCTGGTCGAGGGCTGATGAGAAGAGAGCAGAGACAATTCGAGATTTGCGACGAAAAACGGAGCCAGATTACCGTGATATTGCCGACGAAACCTACTGGATTCCATACTGCTTAAGCTTCCTGTCCCGATATCCCTTGTACAATCTACTCGGTGATTATCTGCGAGGCATGTGGATTCATTGGAACAAGGCCACCAACCTCTTCCATGCCGAGGAGGTTTCCAGAATTCTCAGCTTCCCAGCACCACGTCTCAATGATTTGGTTCGAATCGACATGAAGGATTATGCGCTGTGCTACCAGTTTCCATCATCACCAACTGGTTTCCAGAACTTTGCCATGTGGCCATTGTTCAACTGCCTGACCATTCCCAACATTGTGGGGTTGATTGAAGCAGCTGTATCGCCAACTCGTCGTATCATTTTGACCAGTCACCATCCGGCAATGCTGACCATTGCTGCTGAGACCATTCGATTCTGTGTTCGAGTCTACGAGTGGAGTGGCTTATACGTGCCAGTGGTTCATGCTCGTAATGTCAGCGAGATGGTTCAGGAGCCCGGCCCATATATTCTTGGTATTACAACTGAATGCAGATCTCTTTTCCAGCCTCCGAAGGATGCACTTCTGGTTGACCTAGATCGCAATCTGGTCATCACAGATCATCCACCCAATATTCTAACTGCTGGTCAGCGAACAAAGATGATCAATCGTCTGACTCAAGCCCTCAACAGCGATGTCGACATCAGCGGTGTTCCCCAACATCTCAAATCTGCCTACGGTGGTGGCAAGCTGATCCCAGCTGGTCAGATTATCGTTCTCCGTGGCGAAGTTGAGAGCATTCAAGATCCTTCGTGGTGGAATCAAGATTCTATCATGGCCGTGATGGATCATGTATGCGAAAAGCTCGGTCGCAACACAGGTGTCAAGGCATTGTTTGGAGGTGCCACCAAGAAGCCTTTGATGACCAAGATCTCTATGAGACACATGAATGAGATCGTTCGTGAGCGCAATCAATATTCACGAGACGCCCTAGAAGCATGGCAAGATTTCATCAATCTCAAGGGCCGCATGGACACCGAACTTGCCAAAGTTGCCAAGCGAAACAACTACTTGGAGCAAGAAGTCGAGACATGGAAATTACAATTCCAGAAATTCCAAGCCTTTGTCGAATCCCTCAACAAGGAATTGGCTGAACTTCGTGTCAAGATCGAATCCCACAAGAGAGAGAACCGTAGACTCACCGGTCTCATCGATCAACAGAAGGATGACGCCGCTCGACTTACACTCCGTCTTTCTGGTACCGAGAGACAACGTGACAATGCTCTTGAGGCACTTGTCCTACAACAAGGTATCGCTGAAGATCTTGAGAAGGAACGTTCTCGCAACCGAAAGGAGATTGCTGCTATGCAACACGCCAACCAAACACTTCAGCGACAGCGAGACGAAGCTCAAAGAGTAGTCCTGCATCTTCGCTCTCTTATCACTGGTCAAACCCACCACATGGAGCACATCGTGCGCTCCATCGGATCTGCATCCGAATTGGCTGAATACATCCATGAAGGTTATGATGAGGACGATGGTGAGGAAGACGAAGGAATTGAAGAACACAATCGCCTGAGGAATGTGACGTCCCGATCTGCGAAGCGCGCGTCGCGAGCAGGCTCGGTCGATGGTCAAGATGTGACTCCGTCGATGGAAAGTCAACTCCTGGCAACAACCAAGCGAGCTAGTAAACGCTATTCACAACTCAGCATGTCTGACGTTGCAGATCGTCACCTTCGTGACAAGACGGACGCAATTGCAGACATCATCCGAAATATCAGCGAGCAGTGCGCCGCTGCCGTTGAAGGCCTCCAGCTTGCCAATGAAGCTGCTGAAATCGAAGATGAAGATGCAGGTGACGTCGAAGCCGAGGAGACTGGTATCTCACCATCAACAAACCATACACGTGAAGACAGTGGCAACCTGTCTCCCATAGAAAACCTCACCACTGACTCTCGCACTGGCACTGGGCATTTGACCCCTCAGAGTGAACGAAGTTCCATCCCCCCTACACCAGATCTAGTTCACCAGAGATCTAGCACCGCCTTGAGCATGGCGAGCACCGCACCGACCAACTACACGGCACGCGAATCACTGAACCACAACACTCGTGGTGACAGAACCAAGATCGTCGAGGATGAGGATGCAGATGGTGCCCATGCGAGCGCAAGCACTCATGGTACAGCCCTTGCGAAGGGTGAACTTGAGGACAACCTCAAGCAGCCACCACCAGGCAGAGGTGCTGTGCTTAGTCGAGTGATGGAAACATCATAACCGACTACCAGCTCGCCCTCGGGATATACCTGAGCTAGGTGTATCGAAATTTTCTCACTTACGGACTGAAACGGAACCATCATTACGGAAATTGGGACTCGCAGGGAGCTCAGGCGTTTGGACAGCTATCATCAAATCTCGTTGATGGGTGGCTATGGAGTGTCTCCCTTCCTGAGGACGATGATATCCCCCATGTTGTCTGGAAGGTCACAACATTTGCTTTTATTTTGTTGTTTTTCAAATCCCCACCTGTTTATTGATAATCGGCTTCTCGTTAAAGAGCCACCATTGATCTTATTGATCTTTCTCAACCATGTGCTTGGTCATATATTATGGAGGGACTTTTTCCTTGTCAATATTTTGCTTCGCAACAAATTTCACAAGGGTTCGAAACAGGTAGCAAGCTGAGCTGAACTAACCGTTTGTTCAAGAAAACCAAAAAGGAATACCAAGTTATGTATGCTTGTGTCGTTGTTTGAGCGGCTAGGGCCCTCCTCCGCTCTCAGAGAGCTAGCTCACTAGAATATAAGACAGACAGATGCGACTGAAAATCTTTGCCAGAGGAGAGAAAGTCATGGATTAGATACAAGTCTTTGAACGCGATCCTCTTTTACTGTTCAGGTACGGAGTGCTATATTCACTACGGTACCCCCTATCCTGGTTGAAATCCGCGCTGTCCAGTGTGCAGCTGCTTTTCCAATTGTCATCCCCTTTCATCACACTGAAGACACAACCCACTAAGTTGGGTAGTTAATTATGTAATCCCCAGAATGACCAATTTGAATTCGGTCATACACACACGCAATTGTCCACCTGACTTGATCACACACCCTGCCTACAGTACGTACCTGAACGACCCACTACGTAGTTAGTGGTGACCAAGGCCAAAGCCTCAACTTGAAGAAAAAGGTAGCTTGTCTGTTTCCCTCTTAGTCTGGTAATCACATATATTACTACGTGCGGAGAATGAATCCCACGTCGATCACCTCGGCCTCGGGGCATTCGCGCCTCGTGATTACGATGAGACTAATCATCCCTAATTAGACAAACTAACATGTAGCTGGGTACCCCTTCGGGAAATAAATAAATCCAATTCCATTCGGCACCGTGGATTGCATGAATCTCACTCGCTCAATCTGGTCTGGTTGATTGGTCAAGTCTTGCACTGAAGTAGTTAGTCTAGTCTTGCCAGGGAACTTGGCAATATCTGTTTGTTCATTCCTGCATTCTCATACCACCTTGGCCTGAACTCGGAGGGGGAGGGCTTTCTTTCAACAAAAAGAAAACGACATCGTCGTGCTCCTATTGCACAGATATCTCACTGGAACCAAATCCAAAGAGGTTGAAGAGCAGTCAGGGTCAAGCCCAGCATATCGCTGACACAAGGCGAATAATACTTGAGCACTGTTCCAAGGTACCGCCTGGGGATTAAGTGGTAGTAGCTACCATATCCTCTATCATGGCTTCGCCACATCAAGCACAACAACAGAACCTCCCCCACGGCGATGAAAAGGTCTGCCTGATCGGGCTCGGCGCGATCGGGATCTCGTTCCTGGCGCTGCACCTGACATACACATCGGCGCAGCTATCCGTGTACGACCCACGGCCGGATCTAGAGTCGCACCTCTCGTCCATCCTGCCGCTCTACCTGCCGCAAGGTCCGACGTCCCCAGGACTGTCCGTGGCGGAGCTTCGCTCTCAAGGGCGACTGCGGATCTGCAGCACGCTGGACGACGCGCTCGTGGGCGCGACGATCGTACAGGAGCAAGGTCCCGAGAACGAGGCGTTCAAGCGGTGGACGTGGCGGAGCGTGCTCCCCAAGGTCGCGGCGAGTTGTAGGCTGTGGAGCTCCACGAGCGGGATTTCCGCGAGCAGGCAGCTTGCTGGTCTGGAGGACGGTGGGCATGCGGGCGAGGAGACGCTGGAAAGCGATCTGGCGACTAGCGCCCGCGAACGACTCCTCGTCGTGCACCCGTTCAACCCGCCGCACATCATGCCGCTGGTGGAACTCGTCCCGTCGCCGTCCACGCTTGCGGCCGAGGTGGCGTTCGCGACGGAATACTTCCTCTCGCTGCGCAGCGGCCACCGTCCGATCACGATCCACAAGGAGACCAAGGGCTTCGTCGCCAACCGGCTGAGCTTCATCCTGCTCCGCGAAGCGTGCCACTTGGTCAATCAAGGTGTCGTGTCCGTGGCGGAGCTGGATGAGATCATGCGCGCGAGCCTGGGCCCGCGATGGGCGGTCAAGGGCGTCTTTGAGATGTATGGTTTCGGTGGCGGGACCAGGGGCATGGCTGGATTTTTGGACACCATTGGTGGGAGTATTGGGGAGGTTTGGGATGATGCTGGGGGGTTGGAGTTTAGGGATAATGATCAGGCTGAGGATAACGGGATGGGATGGAAGGACGTCGTGATCGCGCAGACGGATGAGGCCTATGGGTTGCCTACCGCCCCAGGGATTAGGAGGAGAGATGAGGGTTTGAGGGCCGTGGTGAAGTGTCAGAGGGAGATTGATGCTGCGGTGGCGGGGGAAGAGAAGGGGGGAGGGAGAGAGAGTGAGAGAGCGGGAGAGAGGGATAAGGCTTAGTTGAGAGAATGCCTTGTGAGGTGAGGGTTGGTGAGGCTTGAGAAGGGATGTCTATCAATGCTCTAGAGCCTCCCGGCTAATTGTCCATGGGCGTAGGAAGAGTATATGTGGGAACAGTCCTGTGGTGGCACATAGAAAGATTGATTATATTCCAGAAAAAAGGCCTGATTTAGCGCTGGCTATGGGTACTCAGGATGATCAAGTTCTTGCTGTCGCAGTCTTGCAGACTAGTACTAATCCACGGCTACACCCGATTCTTCTTCGACTTCAACTTAATTCGAGCACCGCACAGCACATATCCGTCCATCCGCGCCCTCCCATTTTGTTATTTTCCTTACTCGAACAATAAAGAGACTTGACTCGACTATCGCCTCTTGCCACCCGACTCCGAATCAATGAAAGATGAACACATTACCACCGCGATCCACACTGACAATGCAACCGTAGGGTTTCCTCAACACGATCACATCTGTAATGGCGTCGAGATGTGTGCGTATGGCGTGCTGTTGGCTGGCGCTGATGATGGTGTTTCGCGGCGGTTTCGACACTGGATTTGTATGCGCAACTCGGGAGCTCTGCTTCGTGCTGGCACTACCTCCAGAAGGAGTTGTTGCTGATGGTGTAGTTCGTCCAGATTGGGCAGCATTGGGACTCGATTGGCCTGAATGATCCCGACGCGAGGATCTCTTCGGCGTGCCTCTTGCGCTGCCACCGCTTCCTAGAGGAGGTGCTGAATCTTCGACGAACTTCTCGTCTACTAGTGTAATTTGCGCTCCAGCATTGAGAGACAATGGATGAGTTACTTCATAGATAGGCTTGATGGTCTTACCCTCGTCGGTGTACGTCATGGGTCCGGAGATGATGAAGCTGTTTTCTGGATGTGCAATATCCCAATACCGAAGACCACGGTCGGCACCACCGGTGATCAAGAGTGCCGATTTGTTCGGGTTTTCGGGCTGCGACGAGTTTTGGAGATAATCGTGTAGGATATACATGGCAGGAATTGAGAGTGATTCGGACAATGCGAGTGACGGTGTGGCTGACATGGTCTTATCTGGTGATTTGCTAGAGACGTCTTTTGAGATCGATTGTGGGGAGTCGTTGAGTTTCGAATCTTCGCCAACGTCTCGAGATAATCGAGCCAATATCTTTTCACCAGCTTCGTCATCTGGAGAGTATGTCTCGTAAGGACGAGGCATAGCTTGGGCAGCAAACGTGCTGGTTCGCAACACTTCGCGACAAACTAGCTTTTCGATATCCCAAACAGTAATCTCACCACCTGCGCTCACCATTACCCATCGTCCGTGGCCTTTCGTGGGGTGAATAAGAATTCGATCAATCCGGCCGCTCGTTTGGATCCCAATGCTGCGAAGCCGGAGTTTGAACCTCAAGTCCCATAGATCAAGAATTCCATGGCTCGTACCCAGCAATAGCCAGTGATGTTTCTTGTCTACACAGAACGTAGTTGGTGTCCCGTGTGAGACTGGGTTGGTCATAGTATGGATGATTTCCATATTCTTCAGATCAATCGCAAGGATGCGGCATTTGTTGGTTGCTGCGAGCAAGATTGATTGTGAAGTCGCAGTTCGGTAGTGATGTAGCCAAATTGCATACTCTGGTTCTTGGACAAAGTCTTGGGGCGTCAAGTCTTCCTCAGCCGACCTATTGAAGGGTATTTGAAAGTCGCGGACGAGTGAAGGCTTGCCGTATCTCGAACTTTCCCCGCCTTCCACACTCTTATATTCAATTCTGATAGCATGAATGCTTCCGTCGTCTGCCCCGCTTAGAAATGTGTGGGTGCCTTCAACAAAGCACAAGCTTTTGACCTTCGCACCATCTGCATGTTTATGGGTGTGTCTTGACCGAGGTGTGACATTCTTTTCCAGCCTAATGGTGTCCCAGACCTTGCAAGTACCATCGTTAGAGGCAGTGACGAAGAAAGCATGATCTGGAGCAGCACAGACTCGGTTGATAGAAGAAGTGTGCTCCCGGAAAATGGTAAGTAGTTGGCCTGTAGGTCGCCATGGTTCTGTTGAGAATTTAAGCTCTTGTTGAGCTGTCTTGCTGCTATTCTGCTGTATGACGTCTGTAGCTCTCTTGATCGGAGTTCGAGTGTCTGCGAAAGGGCGTGCTTGACCAAAGTCGAGCAAGTCCACGGGGAAGTTCTCCATGAAATGATTGTCCAGTAGTCTCAAAACATTGACGTCGTTACCAGTGTAAGAATGATTCAACTCAAACATCGGTGTCTTTCTTACAGGACCCGGAGATGCTGACCTTGATTTCTCTGCCATGTTTGCTGATATGGTCAATGTTGATGGGCCTGCTGTGGCTTTGCGATGAATGGGTCCGTCAACTTTTCCAAAGACATTTTCGGATGTGGTAGAAATTTCAGCATCTGCCTTGGCTGAATTTGCACGCCCCAATAAATTGATACCGCTGTTTCGATGCTTTAGTTCAAGTGTGGGATTGCGACGGAACGACAAGTTAGCGCTGTTGGGCGAGTTGCCGTTAATAGAAAGGCTAGGCCTTGAAGATTGCCCACCAGATGCATGCTCAATATTGACAGTGGGTGTGCCGTCCACTTTGTGGGAGGTGGCTGCCTGAGCACGAATGTCAATAGCTTTCGAGGACACTGGTGGCGTTGCTGTGCCACTTGCTGTAGTAGTTTCTGAAGGGGATGGCCTCCTAGACGGTTGCTCGTCAATATTAGATGATGCATCAAGCAGAGCGTCTGCTAGACTATGTCGCTCATCTTGTCTCGATCTCTGTTCGAGTTTTCTTGGTCGATTGCTCATCTCTCGGATGGCATCCCGCTGGTCGAAGAAAATATTTTGTGGTGTAACATCGATTTGATTAAGAGAAATGATATTGTTTAGCATGCGATATTTCCCCTCAAGGTCTTCGTTGCTTTTATGTTTCGACACCTTGAAAAGATACTCGCGGAGTGCGATAAGCTTGATTTCATCATCTGCACCCAACCCTAGATTTCGAAGGCTCTCCAAGGAGGTCTGGTCATCTCTGTCTTTTTGTGAAGCCTTTACTCGTGTTGAAAGTCGGTTCGTCAAAGCTGTAGGGTTCTGAGGATGGCCTGGATCTGACAGGGTGAAAGCACCATCATGGCTAGCAGCAGTCCAGAAGAGACTGTTGCTCTTTCGTGACGCCCAATTCAATGCTGCATCAAACACGGTTTTGGTCAGAGGTCGTTTCAAAGTATCCAAAATTCGGTCTTCTGTCAATGTTGTGATTCTCGTCTTCATGAAGGGATCGATAATAGGCAGAATGATGCAGTTCTGATCCGCTTTTGAGATGTACTTGCAGGATAGGACAATGAATTGCGCAGAACTTTCACGAATCCAAGAACTAGGGTGGATTAAGAATCGTGCAGCCATGCCAATCAACTCCCAAGTTATCGACTTTTGAAAGAGGCCTAGATCAGCCATACGTGCAAGTGACCGCCAAACCTTCTCAACCACGAATATTTCTGGGTCAGTCAATGAACCAACCATTACAGGCAGAATAAATTGTTCCAGGCTTGAGGTGCCGACATAAGTTGCAATACCGACAAGAGCTTCAAAGAAGGAGCATCTGAGAATCCAATCTTTGTCATTCAAGTAGGTGTTCAGATGAGTGAGTATCACGTCACTCGACTTTGCGCTTCCAAAAAAAATGCATAATCGTGATACCGAGCCCAACAACGCTCTTCTGACAGAAGGCTCAGGATCTGTGATGAGAGCAACAGTTGCCTCTTCAAAGTGTGGGACCAATTCAGCGCGGGCAACATCGTAAAGTCCATGATAAGACGTCTCTGGAGCCCATTCTTCAGCGCGTAGTGCAGGTAATCGACCATCCGCACGAATTGCATGGATCATGTCGAGAATCCGAGATGATGACAGCGCTAGAGATGCCAGGCAAGATGCATATGCTGATCGAACCAGGACGCTTGGTGTATTATTCGGTGTTAGAACAAATTGGCGTAGCTTTGGAAAGACGTATTCTGGGAATACATATGCATTGATGGGCGTGATGGTCTGCACCATCTCAAAGATCGATGTCAGCGCATATATAGCCGCAGTCTTGACAACATCGGAGGGGTCTGAGAGAAGGCCGACAATGTAAGGAAGAATTCGGTCAAGTTTGGCTTCATCTGGAAGTCGCTCAGCGAACGCGACAAGCAAATCACATGCTTTTAGTCTAGCGGAGGCTTTCGCTGTATTTCTCAAGCTCGAGACAACAAGGGTGAGAAAAAGTAGGCTTCCATCATACAAAGCTGGATTTGCATCTGGAGATTTGACCCGATTGCTGGATCGCAAGGCCAAAGGGGATTTTGAAGCTGGTTGACTGGGGCTGGGACCGTAGCCAAGAAAGAAGGAGATCTTGTCGAAATCATAATAAACTCGATCGATCTTTTCATCAGACTCGGTCAAACGCGAGGCGTCCAACCCAACAGGCTTAGAAGCGGTTGCTGGTCGTGTAAGATCCAACATGTACTGGTGCAAAAAGCTGTAGAAGTACTCCGGGAAGATCTTGTTTCTGTAAAAGGACAAGTGCTGCTCTGCACTGTACCGCTTCTCTGGGTCTAATTCAATCATATTGAGTATCATTGCTCGAATTTCGGGATCTTCGATTTTGTTCAGGTGTGTATGCTCCGGGCTGTAGTCTCCAGATCGATATTTGAATATCTGGCTTAGTGAGAAGATGGGTCCTTCGAGGAATATCTCAGCGATCGAGCATCCGACACTAAATATGTCCATTGCCCAGTTCAAGTCGCCCTGCAGGTCTCCTATGCTGGTTGTGGTGAAGCGTTCTGGGGCAATGTAGCACGTCCTCCGCGCAGAAGTATCAAAGTAGAAGGAAAAATCTGCCGGATTGTCCTCTGGGAGATTGGTTGGCTTGAAGGACGAAGAGAAATCTGTCAAGAACAGCCAATTCCACGAGGTAACAAGAATGTTCTCGGTCTTGATGTCTCCGTGATAGATATTACGTGCATGACAGTCACGCACGGCACAGAGGAGCTGGAAAGCTAGCCATTTCTTTTCAATGTCCTCGAGAAATGGCCTCGTACTCAAGCGATCATATACGGAGCTGAACATGTACTGGCGAACAAGAAAGCCGGCACTACCGACCTCGACGATTTTCTGGTATGCGAGTGCATTTGGAATGTCTGCAATGATGCTCCGTTCTTCCAATATTTGACGAACATATTCGTGTACTTCAAAGGAAGAGTAAGGTTTCATAACAGCCTTGACAAAGACAAAACCATCTCGACTCCTTGCCCTGATGCTTTTCATGAAGCGGGCCGAAGCTAGGGTCTTCTCATGAACAAGATCCGCAAGCTCTGGTGCGTCGATGCTGGCAGACGCTGCTGAAAGCATTGTCATGGAATAGCCTTGACCCATGGTGAAGGGAGGAGATGGTTCCAACCAAGTATGATTGTTAGAGTTTGAGGGCTAGGCGGCTCGAACAAAGAAAGGCTCTCTCAGCCCCATAGTTTTTTCAATTACCGCGGAGATAGAGGCGATAGAGATTTCATGGTTGTTCGCAGAATGGAATATCAGATGGGGAAGGCGTGATGTGACGAGGGACGCGCCCGCGCCCAGACTATGTCAGCGGGTGAATATGCAGAACAGCAATGAATCAATGGCGCCTTGCGAGGATAGCTGCCATTTACAAGTGCCAACTCAAGGCTAGAGAGTAGACCAAGAGAAGTAGTTGTGTCGAGTAGGTTGAGATCTTAGGATCGGTATCAAGTCCAGGATTGTGGTTGGCATGGCATGGGTGCCCGACAGGCTGCCGTGTGGTTTCAGGTGACCGTCATTTGGGTCATTTGATCTACTTCTGGATAAAGTGTTAATCCGGTGCCGACGCCAAGGCTTTAAAGGCTGCCAGTGGGAAATGAAATGCGAAATGCAACCCATTGGATCCCACGTCTCCACCATACGGAGAAGATTATTCTAGAGGAGCCACCAGACATTCCGAAGCCTGTGCTGGCTCCTCTGTCACTCACTGACAAACCCCTGTACCCCCTGTTACCCCTGCCCGTTTTGCAACGTGGACCGTCTTCGATTGTCGTCATATCACACGAGCATCTACTAGTCTGTCTTCCCTTCGAGAGATGCCCAACACAATTCGCATCCGTTCGAAATACAGTCAGATCAATTGCGTTGTTCACCCTCTTTACCAGACACCCTGTGACACATCATCTACAGAGATCTCTTATTCACAGCCCGACCCTTCGCCAGACGAAGACGAAGACGTTGAATGCTATACAGGGACCGGGACCGGACTGGTGACGAATGACGTCTGACTCGGAAACAATCTTCGCCCACAAACCATCGAAAGTGTTTCTTGTGCCAATATGCGGGTGGTGATTGCACCATCGGCACAAAACATTTCTATGAAAAGACGATGTTGACAATGTCTGATCATGGCAGCAATCAATCGAGGCGTTCCTCATCCCAGAACTCCCACGCCTCCAATGAGATCAAAAAACCAAAGACTCTTCGTGGAGTGCCCAAACGACATGGCTCCAAGACATCTACCAAATCAAACGAACTCGAAGATCCTGCCCTGACCTCCTTCCCATCCTTTACGCCCGAAGCAGACATCAAGTCGTCGAGAAGTGGTCAAGAGGTGGCAGCCAAACCAGCAAGAACAATCTCTCAGAAAGCGAGAGATAGGAAGTTGACTCTTGCCGGGTTGACAAATGCATCACCCTCCTTCAACAAACAGAACGCCCTGTTTGATGATTCACCGCGTTCTTCCCTGGACATTCCGGGATCCCTGCATCTGGGAAGTGATGAACACATTGAGCGACTCATAGCCCGAACAGGTGCAGTTAAATTGGTTCGTCAATATGCTGCTGATCTAGCGCAGCGCGATGCAGAGATATCAGCTCTGCGGGTGCGAGCAGATAACCGAGAACGAGAATTGAAGAAACTGCTACGAGAAGTGAATGTATCGACATCAGATGTCGAAAGGCGCCTCCTTCGGCTTGAACAAAGTCCAGAAGTCTCAATCTTCGTCAAATCAAGTCCAGCTACTACAGACCGTGTGGTTTCAGCTACATCTCTTGATGGCATGATGAGTGAAGCGATGGCACACGGTCTTGTAACCGATAGCCCCGTTGAAGGCTTTCCCATTCTCGACACAAGCGCCGGATTACCAGGCTCGAAACCCGAAACACAAAGCAATCGGAGCAGGACAGGGTCACAAGAAATAAATCAGCTAAAGGGGAGCGGAACAGCAAGCCGAGCAAACAGTATTCTTAGTGAGAGCAGCCAAGACATGGACGCTACTATCCGGCCTCGCGGTTCTGCGTCAACTTCAAACAAGTCTGCATCACTCCAGAACATGTTTCAGGCCCCTTCGCAGTCCTCGTCGAGCTACTTTATTGGTGGCAAACCAGGGAGAAAGGTGAAGCTTGGCGACGAGGCTAGTGTTCGGTCGAATCAATCTGGGAGGTCTTTTGCTTCTTGGACCCAAATATTCAGCGGAAGATCTCAAAATGCCAGATCTCGGGCATCTTCATTGGGACAAGATGCCGTTCCACCAGCCGCAGCAGCAAATGAAATCGAAGCAACCCCAAGCGGACTATCCAAAACTCGAACAAATCCATCGTTGGTGCCAAATAAGTCTACCCAGTCGCTCCCAGCTGCTGCAAACCAAAAGGGTCGACCGGGTACCAAAAGATCTACTACGACGAGCAGGCTTTCCGCCAGCCCAAATCACGTAAGAAAAGAATCGAATGCTAGTAGTCTGCCACCGACCGTCGAATTGGACTCGATGATCGAGAGCTCACAGTTGCCGCCCACCATGACAACCAACAACATCGACAACTATGGGCTATTAACCGATCGTTTCGGTTTTATCTATGATCAGAAACGCAAAAGACAAACTTTGCAAATGCGACAGCACAAAAAGAACAAGATGAGTGGAGCCGAAACTATTGCAAGCTTCCGCGACGGCGAAAGCCCGCAAACGGAAGCACTGCTGCTAGTGGAAAGGCCACTAACCCCTGCATCCATCGATGAAGAAGCTCCCAAGAAGTCCTGGCAAGATTATCTTAAAGTATCTTCAACATTAAACCCTGGACGACCTAAAGAACTCTTATCACATACTCCATCTGCTGGAGCTGTCGTGACAGTCAGTACCTTCGATGCAGAAGGCACAATCACTCCTCCACGTCATCGAGAAATTTCTGTTTCTATATCAGCCTCGAAAGCTCTACCGTCGCTAAGTGGAGTTACAGAGCCGCAGTCATCTACTGTGAATGCCACTTCAGGTGACTTTACACCTGATTCAGACACTGACAACCCAAGTGACTCCGGGCCCGCAAGGTTGTTGCTTGAACAACTGACGGAATTACATGATTCGCTTCAGGCGGAGCGAGATGTACGATGGAATGACTTCTTGCGTCGTGTTCGAGCTGAGAGGGCAAACAACACTGATCGAGCCGCCAATAATACACCGGAAGCAGAAATAATTAACGGAGAGCTGATTGGAATCGCATCGTTAGGGCGATCCACCAAGACAAAGAACAAGTATTTGCATTTCAAATCACTCGTTTTAGCAGGAATTCCAGTATCTCTTCGACCTAAGATCTGGGCTGAGTGCTCTGGCGCCACAGGGTTGCGAAATCCAGGATATTACGAAGATCTTGTTGTGCGCTCTCAGGACGGGTCTGACGTTGATCCAGATATTGCAAATCAGATCAAAGCAGATGTTCGTCGCACCTTGACTGACAATGTCTTCTTCCGTCAAGGACCCGGCGTTCAGAGGCTTGAGGAACTACTACGGGCCTATTCATTGCACAACCCTCGAATTGGCTATTGTCAAGGTAAGGAGCTTCTTAGCTGCAGAATGGTATGCAGATTGCTGACTGTGGTTTCCACAACAGGAATGAATCTGATTACGGCCTCTCTGCTGTTGATTTGTGCCACAGCAGAAGACTGCTTTTGGCTTCTGGTCGCCATAATCGATGTGATTCTTCCTAGCCAATATTTCAGTTCGACCTTGCTGGTTGCGAGAGCCGATCAAGTTGTTCTTCGGCAATATGTTTCTGAAGTACTACCAAGATTGAGCGCAAAGCTTGAAGAGCTCGGCGTTGAACTGGAAGCTTGCACCTTTCACTGGTTCTTGTCTCTGTATGCCGGCGTTTTGACCGGCGGTGAGGCGCTCTATCGTGTTTGGGACGTGATGTAAGTGATATCTTCTGATCTTTCTCCGTCGATTCGTCTGACCCTCTTGTTATCTTCAGTCTTTGTCTGAACAGCTCTGACGCTACTCCATTCACCCTCAATACAACACGAAACCTCACCGTCGACATGTCCGCCCTCAGCATTGGCAGCGCACCGGCCACACCAGTAACGCCCAGTATGCCAAACAGGGAGCGCGAGGATGATGAGCATGACGGCACTAGCTCACCTTTCCTATTCCAGCTCGCCTTGGCGCTTCTGAAGCTTAATGAGAATGCCATACTGGCACTTACGTCGGCAGCCCAAGTATATACCTATATCAATCATAACATGACCAATCATGCTATTAGTATCGATCAACTTGTTCAAGCGAGCGAAGCGCTCCGAACAAGTGTTAAAAGGAACGAGGTGCTCGAGAAACGCAGAGCAGCGATCAAGGAACTTGGTGTTTAGACGGAAGAACCCCCAACCCCAAAGTGACTTTTGGGCAGAACCCGTGACTAGTTGGTGGGAAGGTGCTTTTGATGTGCTGATAGGATAAACCTTAGTGCGAGACAACAGTGATGAGGACTTTGGACTGTGAATGTCACACGGGCCCTTTCCCTCGACCCTACTACATGATTTGACAATACTCAATCACAAAACATCGAACCCGAAAAAAAAAGGGGGATAATCAGGATCTTCAGGAGTTATCCATTGAACCACAGCTAGCGAAAAGGAAGCCGGCGGAACCAGCCCGGCAGAAGAAGAAGATGAGATGGGTAGGAAAGGGGATGAGATGAGATGGATATTGGAGTTCGGAATTCGGCACATTTCCGGGGAGGGAAAAGTACGACTAAAGCTCCTCGCTGGCGCCAGGTAGGACGCCAACGACCTTGTTGGAACCGACCCAAACTGCCCTGCTGGAGGTGGCATGGCATGGCGATTGAACATTCCTTCATCAAGTCAAGGTTGTTTCCTATCGTTGCTGCGTTGGCTCCAACTACAGCTCCAACTACCACACGTGCACCTTTTCATTTTTTCTCTTCCCTTTTCAGTTTTTATATCTACATACATACATAGCCGCTGGCGTCTTTCCCTGTTTGTGTTTTAGTTTACGATACCCGCCCCCCCGGCACACCCTCCAAGCTTAAGAATCGAACTATCAATGAATACGATGACAGACTAAAATTGAACAAAGTTGAGGCTGAAATTGAGAATTGAAGCTGGATTTTCCCCCCCGTTTTAAACAGAAAATCCTATCGTTGAAAGATTCGAGAGTGATGCATACCTGTCATATCTAATCATCTCAAATAAGCAGCCTGGCATGAACATCAACACGGTCGTAGATCCGATTTTGGGCGCTTTCTTGCGCCCCAAACGAACAAAGGTTGCATGTACCCTCTCCCTCTACTCTCTCTCTCGCGCGGATGCGGCGAAATGATAGACCAAGCCACAGGCGCGTTTCCTATCCACTGAACAGGTTGGAGACGAGGACAAACGGGCAGGCTCTGCACCTTTCCTCAGCCGGTCGGACGGAACAAGCAGCCAAACTAAGGTGTCAGTGTCAGTATTAGCTCGACCCGGGCGCACGCACCTGGGTTGGGGGGGGG